TTTCAAATAAAAAGCCCTTGGGTTAAAATTGGCCCTGGCGGGCGGGGGGGGGGGGGGGCAGAGGGAGGGGAAGGGGAGGTCATTGTTTTTATTATATGTGTGTAAGTAAAAGCTTAACATCATTGGGAAACCCCCATCTTCTAATGGGTGTCTTCAATTTTGTTCAAATAAAAGCCCTGGGGTTTAAACTGGCCTCGCTCCGGGGGCCTATATACAGGTGAGCGACCTCAGGGCCATCATGGCCCTCTTGTTAACTTTTATAACCAGGGAAATACATATCCCAGTTTGTATTATATTATTTTTTAAAATGCAAAAATATAAAACTACATGCAATATAAAAGTATGATGCTCCTTGACAGAATCTAGTTTGATGAGCAGTTGAAAAAATTAAGCAATTTTGGTGGTACATTTGTAGTTTAAGCAAGAGGAGAAACAAGGAATATTTTATTTTAGGCCTTTTTTTATGGTAAATAGTGAAACAAGTTTTTGCGAATTATATTGGCTTCTTTAGTTCATTATAATGATGCACTTCATATGACTCAAATACAATTTTGGCCCAAGTAGGGCTCAAACCCATGATCTCTGTATTGAGAAGCAGATGCTGTATAACCTCTAGACTAGGCTGATGCTACCCATGAAAATGATAAAAGTCTAAACATTTTCCTCCACCAACTTAATGTAACAAAAAAGTGTAATAAAATTAGTCAATTTGTAATTAAATAGTTGCCTAACAACAACATTTCTGGCATGGATTTGTAAAAAGATTTTATTTTATTTTATGATTATACATGTAGCAGTTTTGACTATACTTAATATATGAAAAGTTCTGAAAGTATTTTCAAAAAGAGTTCAGTATTTGAAACCCGGAAATAATGCATTATTGTCTAAATATAACTTTAACTCCAAGTATACCAGTGATGATTACAAACAACTGTTGTCTTAACAGAAATAATGCTGAAAATTGACTTTACTGTAGTTTTGTAATCATCAGCATAGCTGTAACAAAGCATGTGTTGTTGTAGTTCTCTGGATGAACCCATTGTTTGATGATAAAAGGTATTGCCTCTCATTGTAAGTACCACTTCACAGCAATCTTGTCTCTATCTTGTCTAATAACTGGCCTTCACTCTTCTAATAATCTACAATACAACACTTTAATACTGACACTTAGATAATGTCTGATAGTTAATAATGGGATAAAAAGTTCTGTATTTTGTACAAATTCTCCTCTCACCCCCCCACCGCCCCCCCCCCCCCCCCCCCCCCCCCCCCCCCCCCTTAAAGTAATTCATGTTATAAAATTATAATTTTGATCTGTGATACAAAATTAAAATTAAATGTACATCTATATTTGTAATAACATGACAACAAAAAAGTTTTGAAAATTAAAGGATAATCAAGTTTGAATAAACTCTACAGTGTTGGCATATGAATATTGCAGCATCCTAAAGTTTGATATATAAATGATAACCACATTCTTCAGATTTATTTGAACCTGATACAGCAATATTTGAAATCTGCAAATGAAGATAAAAGGACACCAAGACAATCTTTAGAAATTAAAAAAAATCTGATATTAATCAAAAGTGGAATTATCCAAAAATAATGTTTATATAACTTTCATTTGAATTGAATTGAATTTGTCTTTATGTGGTATAGATTTAGACAAGAAGGTATTGATGATTTACTAGACTGTGCCTCAGATTCTGCAGAATGATTATATATTTGTTTGTCTATAGAAAGGTACAGAACCATCCAGAAACATTATGTAAGCATCCACTTGGCAAAGTGGTTAAAAGTGGTATAGAAATTGCTTTCCTGCTTCTGTTAAATAGATTTTTGAAGATATTTAAGATCACATCTGCAGTGAAATTGTGCATGTAACCCCCAGGAGAAGTGATTATTTCATGCTAAGTTAACTGGATTCTGGATTGTTTACATTTTCTGGAGATACTTTTAGAGAAAAATATACAGACTGCAGTTGCACATTTCCTCTGTGTGCAGGCAGTGTCTGATAGACTGTGTTTGAATTACAGTATATTCCTGAGGGAAAAGTTTGGGAGTTATTTGAAGTTTTACAAAGTGATAACTACTGGTATTATTTTTAACTGTGTATACCTGTTATATAATATATACATGTACTATATCATCCTGAAATTCTTGTGTGGATTGCTAATGTTATAGAGTGTAGTTGGAAGATTTAATTGAACTAGTCATTTAGTAAATAATTGTTGCTAATAACCAGTGTGAATCAGGATAGAGATTGGTGAGTACAATGTTATCCATATAAATGTTTTTTAGACAAAAACTGTCTCTATGTATTGAAGTACCTCTTCAAGTAGGTTACTTAGTAATGATTCATTACATACTTTAGACTAAAATGAACTTGTTCTCTATAAAGTTAACATTCACTACAGATCTCTTCAATTACATGTTGTATACATAAATTTTAAACATATAGATTATGCATAATATAGCATATGCAGAATACTGTATTATTGTTCCCCAATTAAATATTCCTGGGGTAATTTATTTTGCAAGAAAGTGAAGTTGAAATATTGTCCAGTACCTGTTAAAATGTCCCCTTTCAGAATGTTCAAAATACTTGATATTACTGCATCATAACACTTTAGCTGCATTGACACATGTAACCTTATGACATAATGTGTACCTGTTTTGAAAAAAAATAAAAGTAAGACAGATGTCTTACACCTAGTTTGATTGTAAACTTTGATAACATTCATGAATCAAAATGTACATTTGTATATAAGAAGTGATGTGATTTACGGACCACAACAATTCTTCATTGTCAAAACTAAACTTATCAAATAGTTTACAAATGACCTCGGGCTTGCGGTAGATCACATGTATAGTTGAACATAGTTTTTGTACCTTCAAACTTATGTTGCTTTTTTATGAATAAGGGAAGATACTTTAAATGTAAGTTCACACATTTAGAATAGCATAATCTAAAAAAAATTCCATGTCATATTAAAAAGATGGTGTGAAAATTTGTTTATGTAATTGCTTTTCTGAGTAAGATGATATGGAAAAGCTATACAATTATCAGAATTGTAAATGCAGCGTTACAATTTGGTTTACATTTGATTATATTTCATGCTGTCTACTCCATACACTGTTAACTCCTTTAAATTTTTACATGACGTATGTGTATTTAAAATCTATTTAAAATCTTATGAAACTTTACCAATTAGTAGTTCTGATAGTTAAAGATGGATGGGTCCATTACACAAATCCACTTATAGAATGCTTACGGCAAATTTTTAACTTACAGTACAAATAACTAAACAAATAGTTAAACACCATGCATGAGGACTTGGAGAAATCCATGCTGGATGTAGGCTTAATCAATAAGTTAGTATTCTCATATAGAGTTGGACAGTTCACCTGAGGGAACATATAGGATGATGCCAGTAATTGACTGATTATTGCATTCACTTAGAACTTTATGAGGTATATCAGAATCTGTATAACAGGTCGGTTCATAATTTGATGGAATTTATTGTGAATAGGATGTTATTGAAAATGGTGGTAAGTGATTTTATCACTTTAATAATATAAGGTGTCTGGAATTCTAATATAAAGATTTTTTTTGATTTTTTTTTTTTTATAAAGATGATCTCAACAGCTTGAAATGAGATTTGTTCATTTCTGCCAGGATTTTTATCTTGTATCTCCATGTTTGTTATATAATCAGTTAAAGAGATAGGTCATAGATACTTACCTGATTAAAATGTTTGATATTATTTTACCTTGATAAACCTTTTTGATAACTTTCTAATTCTGAATAACAGGTAAATATCTCTGATTGTCAAAGATTTTTTTTCTGGATCATTGAGGTAACAGGAGTTTTTTGGTGCTCTTCATGATGTTGATGAGCTATAAAAATTCTGTTAAAAATATCATTAAAATTTCATAATGAATTTTCCAATTCCAGCCTGCTAAATTGAGTGGAACATTTTATGATGTGATCGTCAAACTTTTTGCACTATTTTCAATTTTGATTCTCGCTGTTTTTAATAGAAGCATAAATATTATTTGACAAAAAATGTGTGCTTTTATTTTCTGTAGTAAAAAAGCTATTTGCAATATTTTCTTATTTAAAAATCCCAAATCCTATAGTCATAAAGAAGGAAATTGTAATATAAAAGCATTCTGTCAGAAAAGATGCACTTACTGAAAAATAAAACTGAAAGTTGGCAGAGAAGAATGCAATTTTTATAACAATTTTTGACTTACCAATAATCATTTTTTGGATCAGAGTTGAGCAATAGTCTGGGAAATATACCAGATAACTAATTTGATTACAGAATAACTGCCTCAAGTTGATTAACAGAATTGGTTGGCTAGAATTGCGAAAAAAAGAGGGGAATTCAACAATTTAGTTTTCAAGATATATGTTTCTGGAAAACCAAGAATCAAGTTTCTTGGTAAATAGAAAAAAAGTAATGGAATGGTTCATATAAGCTAATGGGTTATATGGTTAATTTTGATTTTTTTAAATTATACAAAAACACGTAAAAGAAAGATGAAGCTGAGAAATTAAATTGGTCTTTTTTTTTAATCGTGATGGGAAATTTTAGAAATGCCCTATTTAGAATATGACATCATTATTATAGAAAAAAAAACTCTTTAGACTGTTTTATTATAGGATTGCAAAATGTATAAGATGAGTGAGTATTTCAGAGAAAGTTTTATATTATAAGAGTATTGGCTGTTTTTATTGTAGAAACATGCTGGTTTAATTCCCTACAGTTGGCTGTAAGCCCTATACTGTTTACAGATTCTGTTTGTAATTAATTATGCCAAAGTCTGGTAATTGTTTTTACATTATTACTCTTGAAAGCTTTATTAAACATATAATAGGATAAAAAATATAATACCCTTGAATAATTAAGAAAATTTGTTGAAAGGAACTAGATTACATAATTACAGAAGTTTAAAGGACAAAAGTGATATAAAATACAATGATTTCTATTTTCAGGAGAAAAATAAAAATAAAGGAATGATATTTTAGGGAAGATCACCACGATTTATAGATGATGGAATTAGCTCACAGCCTTCTCCTCAATGAGGAGGCTTTGCAGAAAATTCCAGACAACAAAAAGCCCGTTTTTGTGTTTGAATGGCTCAGATTTCTTGACAAGGTCCTTTCTGCAGCACAAAAGGTAATATCCAAACATTTATGTTTTAGAACTGTCATGTTTTTGTATATGCAGGCATTTTGTGACATGTCTGTAAAGATTAATTAAGATTAAGATTAATTGACAGGGCTTTTTTCACAGGTTGGGGAAGCAGCCCTGCCCTTAATTTTTGGAAAAAAATAACGTGATATATTTGCAAAAGGGGAAGAAATTCAATTTTTGTGGGGAAAATTGCACGATTTTAAGGGGAAGCAGTCCTGCTACAGAAGGAAAAAAAGCCCTGATTGATCTCTACTTAACTAGGAAATCATACAAAGCTTCTGATTTTAAGTAAAACAGGATATAAAATATCCGAAAACATTCAAGCTTGTTGTTATGAGATTTTGACCAATGTTTTAACATTGTATGTAAAGTGTTGATCTTTCTGGTGTTGTTTCATCCAAATTCATCTTGTCACAATGACTAAGTCATTTTTCGTTCCAAAGCTAAGCTTTAGTAATGACAAACTTGTATAACTCACTATTATATATGTATATTCATATTTATCTAATCTATTCTAAATAAGTTTTGTTAGTTATTATGAAATCAGTAGCATTAATGTATTAATGTTGTAGAGTAAACTAGAACAGAATTTTCTAGATTAATAATATTAACAGAAAAACAACTGAACGTGGCAAATAATGAACAAAAGTTTTTTCTTGCATATCTAGTATATTGAAAGTCAGGAAATATTCTAATCTAGGTAACATTTTAACCAACTATAAACTTTTATAATTATTGTAATATGAGAAATATTTCAGAATTTTACCATGTCATGAATGCGTGATGTTCAATTTTCTGAATGGGTTATTCTCGGTGATATTTGGCCAACTTAAGTGTTTGAACATGTGCTGGATGTACTTGATTTATATTATTAGGTTGTCTTATTACCACATGATGTAGTGTGTTACCTACACACAAATCTTATTATTTTAGATGGAACACAGACATGTTTATGTTAACAGTTGTCTTTTAGTCTGGGATATAGCAGGCAGCCACTTCCTGATTTTCTTAATATTTCATTAAATTCTTCAAAACACACACATATATTTGTATATATGATAATACCAAAATACTCAAATTAAACTTTTGCATTTATCATATAAGTGAATTATTAACATGAATTCAAAAACCAGTCAATAATGTATTAGTTATGCATAACTTGATAAACAGTCTGCTCTCAGAAGTTTTGTTTATCTGTTAATTTCTACCTTGTGATTAGACTGTATCTTTAATGAACAACATCTGTATTAATGTTAATAGTTTTGTTTGTTGTTTGTATATCAGTCAGCAAAATTGAAACATAGGGTTTTAGAAACCCTTCATTAGCAGCTTTTAGCCTATATGTAATGTTTGTTCTAGTAATTCCAGAACTTAGGATACCTATTAAGATATGATGACTTTGTTGATGTTTTTAAGGGAAAGGCTGTGCCTACATACCTTGCAAAATATTCTTTTTTTGAAAATTGATAATGTTTATTTTTTTGGATTGAATGAAATTCAAAATGAAAGAATATATTTTTGAGGGAAAAAAACCAACAAAAAAACCTGTTCTGTTCATACTATTAAGCTGAAGTTATTGAACAACACAGTGTCTACCTCTCCCCATACATGCAAAATTGGAAAGATGGAAAGGAAGAAAAAAAAAGTATTTAAATTCTTAGTCAAATTATTTTGTTGATAATATTAAACAAAAATTAAATGTTTTATGTTTTAGTCTGACATTAAAGAGAAACAGAAGCGTCTTGTTGAACAGTTGATAAATCAGATCAGTGAATCACCCGGTCCACCGACCAGAAAGTTACTGGCACGATGTCTGGCTACACTCTTCATCGTCGGAGACTCATTTGCTATGTTTGATGCCATCAACAAGTGCAATGAGATTGCTAAGAGCAAAGATGATTCTCCTAGCTACTTACCAACCAGATTGTAAGTCAAAGAAATGTTTAATATATCATGTAACATGTTTTTTTAAATGGGCTTAACCTTAAAGTAAGCTGAATAGTCTAAAATATAATGATATACATGTAGTGCTGTTGTGTTAATCTTTCATGTCACTTTTCTGTTGAATAATCTCACTTTGCATCAAACATCACTAGATAATATAACTTACATGATCAGATATACTCTGAAGAGTAAAACAACTTATGATATGTGTTTGAGGTTGTTTATGATTCAGAATTTTGACAATGTTCCAGTAATAGTGCTATCATAAAGACTTCTAATATAATGTAATGATGCTGATTGCAAAATCTCCATGGACTTGCCTGTAATTCCATGTCATTTATATATGGGGCATAATTTCCTCAAATTACTGATATTTAATATAAAAACAGAATGATTACAGAGTTTTGCTGCCAGTTTGGTGCTTTTTTATGTTTAATCAAACATTCCTGACATAACATAGATTTTAAGGTTTATGTTTATACTGATATGCTGCAGAAATTTGGTAGCAGCATTATCATGCTGATTGATAATATGAGAATCCCTTGAGTCTGAATGTTGGCATGTTGTATAAAATACTTAACTTTATTGAGAAGTTTATAAAATCTCTTCTGTTTTAATTCTATTTAGGTTATTTTGAGATTGCATTCAGTTGCATTTTGGCTATACACCTTGTAATACTTTGGCCTGTCTGACCTAGTTTGATTTAAAGGTTGTCAATCAAAGGATCAAATTTCTGATTTTTTCCTGTTTGTCAAGTAATGGTTGTCTTAACTGCTTTTGTTTGGTATTAACTTATTCTATAGTAATTGACATGTATATGGTATTATTGTCTCCTGTCATTTGCTTTGCTAAATGTAAAGAGGGGACTGGGAGAGAGAGAGAGAGAAAAAGGGGCTGGCCTGCAAAAAACATCAATAATTATTACAATGTATAAGAAATAAGGCAACATTTATAATTATGGATATACTAAAAAAAATGTCATTGAAGAAGCATTATACAATATTAGCTATCAATAGGTTATAAATGATAGCATTGTTTAATAATACTGGGCAGTTGTTGTCCTCCTGTCAACTTAAGTAATGTTTTGTAAACCGGTATATCACTTTAGACATTTTACACAGCTTCCACATTTTAGCCTCTAATGTTTAAAGTCCTAATTGATACCAAGCAATTTTCCATTAGTTTGTTTGTCAAACTGTAAATAAACAATTTGTTGTGACTGTGAGAAGTGAGTGCAGTAAGTGAAACATTAGAGGTTGTATGATGTGTGGAGGTAATGATAAGATAAATGATACAGGCTGATTGTCTAGACCAGTCAGAGACTGTATGCCTCACTTGTAACCAGTGCACTTGTATATGCCATGGATGATTACAGTTGTCAAAAATGTTCTTCTTATAAATAGAAACAATATGTGGTGGTCAGAGAAATTTCTTTCCAGGGTTATATAGTACTTTTGTATAAGTAATTTTTTTGTATTATGTCTTTGTTAAAGATATATAAAGAATATGTTCTTTATTAACTGCTGGAAAAAATGTTCTTTTTCATGTTCTTTAAGGGAAGCATTCTTTTTGCATATTGTTTAAATTGTTTTCAATTTTTTGTCACATTTTGTAAGTAGTAATGAAATGCACTGAGTGATTTTAAAGTTTTTTTATAATTCCAAACCTCTTCTTAATATCACTGAAATAACAAACTACCAGATACCATCTAAAGACAGACTTGAGTAATATATGATTTATATTGTATATCATGTAATATTAGACTAGAGATACTAGTAATGTATATTGATGACAATTATTATCTTCGGAAATAAGTATCAGACTTCAACTTTTGGCATACTGTAAAATAGTGTAGACAGAAGATTGATGTAAAACATCATTCTGTAGATATAATAATAATGATTTCAGGTCTGCAATAGCATGTCTGGTAGGTATATGTGAAAACTTACTCTGTAGATCATATACTAAGTATGAATAATTTCAGGGCAGTGGGAGCATGTCTATGAGGTATATATATCAGAATTTAGTATTTAGATATTACATGAATGATTTCAGTGCAGTGATGGCAGGTATATTTGGGAAGATGTAAATATAACATGAAGGATTTCAGGGCAGCAGTAACATGTCCAGCATGTATATTTGAGAACTTACTCTTTATATATAAAATAAATGATTTCAGGGCAGCGGTAGCATGTCTTGGAGGTATATATGAGAACTTGCTCTATAATATAACATAAATGATTTCAGGGCAGCAGTAGCATGTCTAGGGGGTATATATGAGAACTTACTCTATAACTATAACATAAATAATTTTAGGGCAGCAGTAGCATGTCTTGGAGGTATATATGAGAACTTACTCTATAACTATAACATAAATGATTTTAGGGCAGCAGTAGCATGTCTTGGAGGTATATATGAGAACTTACTCTGTATATATAAAATAAATGATTTCAGGGCAGCAGTAGCATGTCTTGGAGGTATATATGAGAACTTACTCTATAACTATAACATAAATGATTTCAGGGCAGCAGTAGCATGTCTTGGAGGTATATATGAGAACTTACTCTATAACTATAACATAAATAATTTCAGGGCAGCAGTAGCATGTCTTGGATGTATATATGAGAACTTACTCTATAACTATAACATAAATGATTTCAGGGCAGCAGTAACATGTCCAGCATGTATATTTGAGAACTTGATCTATAAATATAACATAAATGATTTCAGGGCAGCGGTTGCATGTCTAGGGGGTATATATGAGAAGATGGGACGTATGACAGGTAGATCTTATGAGGAAACAGTACAAGCTCTTATCAAATCTCTAAAATCTGCTGAGGTAAACTTATTTTCTGACAATTATAGTTTTATTTGATAATTGTTAAAAGCCAAATAAGTTTAATAGAAGTTGCTGAATTATTTTCAGTAAAAGTGAAAACCACAACTTGTTAATACAAAAACAGTGTTAGGATTTTATTTTAAGGTTAAATTATAAATTATTGGTTGATTAAATAGTATTCAAAGAAAGAAAAGATGTTGGAGAAACTTGTTGTGTTGGTGTTTAGAAACATTAGTTCAATATTTATGGATCATCAATACTTACCATTTATATTTTTGACTAGAAATATGATGTTTTACCAATGTTATACTAGTTAAGAGTATCATATATTATTATTAAAGATCAATACATTTTCATTTCTGTAGTGATTTTGCCATAAACAAGAATGTAAAAAATAGAAATAAGAACCCACAAAGGTTATACAACGTCAATCCTTATTCTATTTTAGATGTAGTAGACTGTCTTATATTACCTAGTGTCATGAAAAATCCATTTATTGTAAATGTCATGATTGTAAGAGAAAGTAAAAGTAGTTTTTTTTTCTCCAGTTATATGGAACATAATCCATGGGTAGGAGTGTTAAATTAGTTGTATTAGACTGAGACCTAAATTGATGCAACAAATTTCCTCGGAAATTTCCACATTGAGGAAATTGATTGAGAAAATTTCTCACATGACGAAAATCAATCCAGAACTACACTGGATGGTTTTTCTTGTATTCTCTCTCTCTCACAATATTCAGACACATTTTATAATTACAACACAAAACTGTCAACTTGAAATGCTGTCGGCTGATTTGATAATGTACATGTGTTACATTCAATGCCCATCATGCCTTTTTGTTTCTCACAATTTTACTGAAAGTCAGTAAGCCTCTATTGATTTCCTTTGAAATTTTGTTTTAATTTTTTGGCATGATGAAAAAAGATGTTCAAAAATTTGTTGCACAGTCATGAAGTTTTAAAGGAGAATTTTTAGATGGGAATTTTTTTATATTGTTTGCAAGGCTTTATGTTCTTTTCTTAATTTTCACAAATGTGGGTGAAAACTTGAACTACAAAACATTTTTAAGGAGGCCTTGGTAATCATTTTCTTTGTGCATTTCAGTTATGACCAATAAAATTTAGGGATATACAATATGCTTTGAAACTATAATGCCAATTTATTTTTTTATCTATTACTCACAATTTTCCTTGTTTATAAAACATTTATAATTATTATATGTTTGAAAAATACCTGTAACCTCATTGGTTAAAACAGCAGTTGACAGAACAAATCATAAGTCATAATCATTGGAGGAAATAATATACTCACTGGCTGAATTGGATTTTCCCAATTTTAAAAATAAAATCAAGGTCATATTTAATAATTAACTACGGTCTGCATAAAAACTGATTGTTGCATATTTTGCTATACATGTAATTTACTCTAGTGAATTTTGTTTGTTCAGCTTTGGAGTAGCTACTAAATGTCTGATGTCATCTTTTTAATATGTGTCTTTTTGCACGGTTCAATGAAAACAGTCTAAATATGCTGTTTTGTTTTTCCTTATTTGTCCTCACTCTTTGTGTTTTTTTTGTTGTTTTTTTTTAAATCTTATAAATCTTTAATCTTTATAAAGTAATTGTTGACTAGTTGGTCATTTAATATATAATATTCATCAGCAGAATGTCATATTGGTCTGGGCCATCAACTAGGTTTATATGACATTCTACCAGTGAATATCACATGTTTAATGGCGCACTAGTATCAAATTTATCTTGTTTAAAATAGGAAGTACAACATTGTTTAGAAATGTTGATGAAATTTCCATTTAGACCCTTGATGTAATGGAACAGAGACTGTGAGCTAACTAAAATCTAGCATTATTTTATTTTAGTCACAATGTCGTGGAGAGACAATGATGACGTTAGAGAAGATAGTGAAAGGTTTAGGGACGGCAGGACAACAGTCATATAAAGATGTCTATAAAGCAGCTAAGGCAGCAATGACTGATAGAGCGATGGCTGTTAGAACAGCTGCGGCAAAGGTATATAATTATAGCCATTTATAGCTAACTTCAATCTACACAGATATCATGTGGTAAAGCTCTTTAATTTGTTCTCAGACATTGTTAGTGTAAAAAAGGCAGAGATTGTGTACTTAAAACATAAAGGCTAGACAATGAAAGTTCTGTGTCAACTTGTTTATGTATATAATTTACTGATATGTTTATGATGGTATGTTTTATACTATATGTTTTACACAATTTGATGCTACCTGCAGTATATGTACCTAGAATTTCTCCTTACAAACAAATCTTTTACCCTAGAGTATGTTATATTTGAAACAAAAAACTTCTTAGAGAAGAAATATTGAGTGGCATCATGCTGTGAATTTTATGTAGAATTTAGGGAGGGAATAAATATATCATGCTTTGATTTCATGATTGTAGATTTTGCCTAGTGAAAGTTTATTATGTATACAAATGCTAATCTTGTTTGTCCAACTGTCTCAAAGCTATCAGTTGTAATGATCTTTAAAGGTCACAGTTACAGAGGTAGGCCTGTTGACCAGACTTTACTGCTGTTTAATTTTAGCATTTTGATATTAATTGTTACCCTGCCGTACTCCAAAATGATGAGCCTTTACCACCAGTATAGACTCAGTCCGAGCCAGCCTGTACTTCCATGTAGTCTCACCAGGCTTTATATTGTTGACTGACTGACTTAAAATTTTCGTACTGTAAAGGGTTTGAATTTTCATCGGTGCCAAATCTTAAAACAATCACACTCAAGTAAAGAAATTTAGTGGATTTAAGATTAGACTCCCTGGTGTTAACAATGAACATATTCAAGGCAGAGCAAGTGGATTATTCAAATCCCTGGGATAAACATTAATATACATTTCTCTCCTACACAGTGTCATACAGGAAACATTTTATATTCATTATCTGCTATGTCAACATTGGTTAGATGTATATATTGATATAAAGACGTTACAATGATATATCTGACAATAGTCTGTCATTTCCTTTCACTCTCTCTCTGTTCCATGAGAAGATTTCACATGCAATGTGAACATTATTCATCCAGAAAAAACTATTTTATCATCTACCAACCTAATTTTGTTTTTCATTTATTGATGTGAACTGGAGTGGAAATAATTGTTCCCTGTTAAGATTGTTTCTCAATATTAAGCCATTCATAGGAAAATGAGATATTTTAATCAAAGAAAGAAAAGCCAATAAATTCAGATCAAATGAATATAAAATGACTTGTATTGAAACTAGATGGTTTATTATACAAATCAAATAAATGTTGGAGGGATTCCAAGGAAGTCAAATCTGTGGTAAAAACCATCTTTGCTAATAGACAGAGCAAAATATCCTGGTAAAAGGGACCACCTATCAACAAATTTTTACTTTTTTAAGACTGGCCTTCATAAACAAGTTCCATGTGTATGAACCTTGGTTAATAATCTAAATTTCACATTATTAACATTTTTTATGACATACTTCTACCTATTGCTGTTAGAGATTTAAAGTTTTTTGTCTCACTTAATCTTAACTTACTGTAAAAATTATCAAATTGATACAAGTTTCATAAAGGATACAGTTTATGCTCTATTATGTCTGTATTTTAGTAAGATAGCATATGATAGAACTTTGGTTCATCCACTTCATATGAGCCGTGTCACGACAAAACCAACCTAATGGGTTTGCGACCAGCATGGATCCAGACCAGCCTGCGCATCCGCGCAGTCTGATCAGGATCCATGCTGTTCGCTTACAAACCTTATTACAAGTAGAGAAACTGATAGCGAACAGCATGGATCCTGATCAGACTGCGCGGATGCGCAGGCTGGTCTGGATCCATGCTGGTCGCAAACCCATTATGTTGGTTTTGTCGTGACGCGGCTGATATGTCTCTGACAATCAATTTATAATTACTTTACAGTGGCTAGAATTTATAGATTCTTATCTTTACCTTGTAATGGAGAAGACATCATTATCTTGTACAAGTATTTGATGAATTAATTCATTGTGAGGCTTTACAAATCTGAAGGCAAACTTTGTATATTTAATTTCTTATTGTGCTATGAATCCTTTTAAGTTTTTTTACTGTTCTTAAATTCAAATCAAGGCAACTTGTCTATTGATCAAAATCAGCATAGTAAGGGGTAGTTTGATATTTGTAGTTGAGTTTTAGTTTTGTGGATTGATTCTGGCAAATTGTTGAAATATCAGTCTAAAAGTAATTTACAATGTTTGTGAAGCAGTCTGTAGCACATTATAAATGAATGTTATAAGATTTAGATTGATTCTGTGTATATATACATCACTTGGATAATTTGATTTCTATCATCAGAGGTGTAAATGTATTAAATTATATCAGTATTGATAAAGTTGTCAGTGTATTTCCTTAGAGAGTTGACATTGTTGTTGTATGCTGGAATATTTTCACTCTGTCCTGCTGCAAGCCAGACATTAGATGACACATTGTGAATAATGTAATCTCTTCTTGACAAGTTCCCTATAGTTTGTTAGTGATTCTAATACTGTGTAGCTGACAACTTGTATGTAATTGATTAAAGGAGAAACAGTCCGATATTAAGAGAAATTCTCATTTGAAACGCCTACATTATAGATAGAGACACAGAAATAATAGAATTATAACTATATTTTTTGGAAAACTAAAGTTTTCACTACTGTTTGTAAAGAAACCATGTTCTTAAGAATATTTACACTGCTTATATTCTATATCTTTGAACATTGGGTGTTATCAATCGGTAGCTTTTGGCTGCATTTATACAAACAAGATAGTGTCATTTGCTTTGCCAAAATATCAAATCATATTAATGTGTATATTTGAAAATTGTTTATTGGGAGTATTGATGTGAATTATATAGTAATATTACTTTTATCACAGAGTAATACTCCCTGTTCCTCAGACAAAACCAATATAATGCGTTTGTGACCAGCATGGATCCAGAACAGCCTGCGCATCCGTGCAGTCTGATCAGGATCCATGCTGTTTGCTTACAAACCGTATAACATGTAGAGAAACTGATAGCGAACAGCATGGAGCCTGATCAGACTGCCCGGATGCGCAGGCTGGTCTGGATCCATGCTGGTCACAAACCCATTATGTTGGTTTTGTCATGGCGCGGCTCAGGTATATAATGTTTTTTATCAGTGTATGTACCAGCTTGTAAATGAAGCACCATTTATGTCAACAACTGAGATGGAGACTGTTGTATCGTTATGTTATCGTGCACTTGATGGTTCTAACTATGATGCTAGATACGCTGTAGCAGAATTACTGGGCAACCTGTGTGCTACCACTCTAAACCCTAAACCTAACACAACTAATGGTAAGTGTATGAGTTTATAAGAATTTTTATCTTGATCATATATTAATTTGGTAACTGAATTGAATCTCATTCCCAACACAAAAATAAACAAAAAGAAATAAAAGAAAAATTAATTTTGTCCTTTACATGAAATAAGCAAACAAAACAAGTTTGATAATCATAAGTCAAACAAATTAAAGATTTGTAATGTCTTGAACATTTTGAATCATTGACTTGTTATGTTTCACACTCTGGTAGGACGTAAAATGAGGAGTTTAATTATTTTCACATTGTTTCTTAATATTGTATTTTTAATGTGTTATAAATTTTCAGCACGCAGTAAGCCTGTTAAACTAGAGGATGTATTGGGACTGTTATCAGCTGGTTTCCTGAGAGGAGGATTTGGTTTTCTGAAGAGCAGTACCTCGAGTAGTAGTGCTGGTGTGAACAGGGAGATCAGGGTCGGAGTTACTCATGTAAATTGTTTTGTGTTATTGATGAATCTTTTTTGTGTCTTTAGAATGCTGTTAACTTAAAAATATTAAAGAGATGATAATTAAACAGTAAGAATTCTGTATGTTTATTTTTCCTGTTAGAATCACACATTCTATTGTTTCACCCACATTAAATGTATTTTATTTAAAAGATTTCAAGGTATATTCGATTCTTAATAAATAAAAATAAAAAAAATGGACAGAATGGCACTAACCTGTCTGAACCAATTACCTGCAGGAAGTATGGACATAATCCAGAAGCATATTCAATTATGTAATGGATAATAATATGACCACAAAATTATTACTAACACTCCCTAACATACACTGGTACAACAGCTGGTGTTATTCAACTTATTTGATATTAAAAGGTTATTTCATTTGTTATACTCAATTTGTGTTAAATCAGTTTTGATTACATTTTGTTCTGTATTTTTTAGGCATATGTTGAGTTTATCAAGTGTATGGGAGGACTTTGGTTAGAGAGAAATATTTCAACCTTCCTCAATCATGTGTTAGAACTTGTTGCTAACCCTCGTGCCACGCCCACTCATGTTGATGCTGTGTATGCCAGGAAATGTGTATCGTTTATTATCCGTTCTGTGATTGGTGGATTACTAGGAGAAAAAGCTCAAATAGCTGCAGCAAAAGAAATATGTCAAATCATTATTAAACAGATGAATTTTGTTGGTATGTAGGATTTACTTAGAAAAATTTTTTTTAAATCTTTTAGAATCAAAATATTTTACTCCTACACTATGTTTTTACATTTTTATGGGCAAGCTCATGTTATATCATAGACACATTAGTTGGGCTGGAATAATACTGGAATTTACTGTATTACAATACATTTTGTCATACCTTTATCATTATGATAAACAACTAATGAAATAGTTCATTTATTTTCAAAATGTATAAATCTCAACAAACTATTATAAACACTTATAATATATACTTAAAAGGTTAAATGGTTATAATCTCTCTTAGTATTCATCAAACAAAGTAAACAATGACAGTATGTACACTCTGTACTACTTTTAGCCTTAATATTATCTACTTACTTTAATCAACCTCTTTATCCATCAGCAACTAAAAACACTTAGATTTTCTTTAAAAAAAATACTACATGTCTATATTACAGGTGAAGCAAGTGCTGATGCTGCAGAGAGTAAAGCTACAGCTGCTGATATTACTGGCAGTCAACATGTACTTGTGTGTGCTTTACATGAGTTAGGTTGTCTTGTCCTTAGTTTAGGCACATCAGCTAGTCCCCTAGTTGCAGAGCCCGCTACAGGTAGGTTCTAATAATTATAATGATTTAAAAAGTGTGAATAAAACCATTTGATTTTATTAAATGAAATACAGAGACAGTGACAGCATCTGACAAGAGATATAACATAAAATTGCATAGAATATTAAGATTTAACTTCTATATTGTATGATTTCTTTATACAGATTATTATTTTGTTAAGATATTGCTTCATTTTAATAGATTTTTCCTCATTTATTTGAATGAATGTCACTATCATGTTTGGTTACAGGTATAATTGAGCCAGTAGTGTCTGTCCTAATTCATCCCAGTGCCTCAGCACGCCTGTCAGCATCTTGGTGTCTAGGCAGTATATCTGTAGCTCTACCATCACAACTTACACCCCTAGTGGACAGATGTATAGAGAGAATGAACAAGTTAAAATCTTCACCAGAAGCTGTGTCAGGATATAGTAGTGCTTTAACATCTTTACTGGGGAGAGTTTACCAGTGCCCGTTAGGTATACCACATGCTAAAGGAAAGGTAAGAACATTATATAATAAATTCATCTCCATTTACATATGAACATTTGATGTTGTTTACTTAAACTATGTTTATGTTAGTTAAAAAGGTTACTCTGGAAAATAAAGTGCTCTCAGAAATATATTAAGTCATTAAAATAAAGTAGAAAATCATGATCAAATTGAGCTATTATATATGAATTAATGGATCATTTTGACCTTTTTAGCAAATTTTCAACATAGCAGAGGAGTTACTACGTACAGCATCACAAAACAGTAGATTATCTCTACAGAGGACACAGTCTGGCTGGTTGTTACTCGGAGCTTTAATGACCTTAGGTAATTTTACTTTACAGAAAAAGTAATACACATTTCATTGTGTTCATTTTCTGTACTTGCCAACTTTCTAGCTTTTATTTTGTATCAATCATAAAAATAGTTTATCTCTCACTAATTTGTGGATTGATCAATTTGAATAATTTATGTCCTTTAATGGGAAATAATTTCTGGTGCAAGTTAAGCAGAAATAGTAACATAAATAAATTATCAGTTATTAATTTGAATTGGTCCCTAAAGTGATATTGATGATACGTCTTTTTCATTTTAATAATTTGATTATTGAAGAAATATGAGAGAGTTGTTATATAACATGTTACATATTACACTATTCAGGTTCACCTGTAATAAAGGGACATTTACCTAGAATGTTGTTGCTATGGAGAAATGCATTCCCCAGGTCTGTAAAGGAGCTTGAATCAGAGAAAGCCAGAGGAGATTCATTCACATGGCAGGTCACACTGGAAGGACGGGCCGGGGCACTAGGTGGTAAGTTAAACTTATTTTAATAGTGAAGTTGATGATAAAACTTAAAGTAAGTACTTTGTTGAAAATCCATGTACTTTACCATTGATGATTTTGGCCAGTTAAACCTTTAATTAAATTAGAAAGACTTCGCATACTGACTTATTTGTATATTTGTTTATTTCAGCGATGCTTAGCTTCTTACAACACTGTAGAGAACTGATAACAGAAGATGTGATACGTAGATTACTAGCACCTTTAGAATGTACCCTTACAATGTTAGCACAGTAAGTGGCTCATACTTTATATCTTAACGGTATAATGTGACCTGTGAAAATACATTAACTTGTAAAAATATCTTGTAAAGGATATGATTACAGCTAAAGCTTTATGTTAATGCATTCTAGTTACAATGTTTAAAGATTGAAAGGTTTACTGATCTACTTAATGTAACAAACTACATGCTTTCTGATGAAAAAATAGCAGACTGAAACCAGCCATAATAAAGTAGTTTAACTCACACTGGGGTTTGATGTGTTGTTCTCCCCTTCCACAATCTTCGAGATACAAATGTACTTTGGTTTTACATTCTTTCTTATAAATTGTCACTCCAATAAATGTTATTTTATAAATTTAGACAAGAAAAAGGACCTTGTGGTTAACATAATATGAATCTGAATTCTGAGCATACTATATTAAACAAAGATTGTTGTGCGGTTATTAACAAGATATTAAGTTGAAATGTTTGAACTTATTGAAAAACATCTAAATAACTTCATGCACATTTACTCAATTTTTGTTTCAAGAGAGCTCGAGTCATTTATTGTTTTAGTAAGTTTGTAAAAAATATCATATAATCAATTATCATGATAGATTAACAAGAAATGCTATGATTTACAGTATGCCAGGAGTAATTAAGATGTATGGTACTCATCTGAAAGCAAGTGCTGCCATGGTCAGACTGAGATTATATGATGTTCTATCTATGTTACCACCACAGTCATATGAAGGTATAATACATACACAAAATAACACTTTTTTAAAGATTTGCATTTTCAGGGATCTTTTATTAAATAAGAAAGTATATGTTAAAGGAAGGGTTTAATACAGCCTGTATTTATGTACTAATAAGATGAAAACTTTTAGAAATTCTCTGTAAAGTGTTTGTATAAAGTCGAAATTATATTTATATATCTATAAGCAAATAGCCCATGTATTGTGCAGTGATGCTGATATTATCAGTATATTTGTTATGTAGGTACATACACAAGCTTGTTACGTGAACTTGTAGCAGAATTCACTCTGACAGATAATCCTGCTAATACAACAACGTCACTTTTACGATCATTGTGTCATGTTGATGACAGCGTTATACTTGGATCCTGGTTACAGGAAACTGATCATAAAGCTGTTGAAGATCAGGTTAGTGTCTCATAGAAGCTTGCTTTGCTGTGGTAGAATTGTCTGTATCAATTAGAAGCTTTTTACCATGTGTATTCAATATTGCTATATTTTGTCTTGTCGAGCAATTGGTAAAATATCATTAAGAATATGTTTCAGTTGATTGATTTATTTCATCATTAAGTTCTGATATGTGTATTCTTAAAAATGTTTGGTTTCATAAACTGGTTCAAGACATAGTAATTCTCATAGAAAATGAATGAAAATTCTAAACTTAATTTGAAATAGCATGTTATTTGCAATGGTAATTCTATGACCATTTACTGATCAGCTTAAATTTTAACTAATGGTAAATACAGGTAAGAACCTAATTAACTTCATGATATAACTTGTACAATATAAAACTTCATATTTCTTTTTATAAAGTATTGTTGCTTATGATTTAGACTAGTTAGATATCACATTTGTATTTTTAGCTCACCTGTCACAAAGTGACAGGGTGAGCTTTTGTGATCGCTTTTCGTCCGGCGTCCGTCCGTCTGTCGTCCGTCCGTAAACTTTACTTTAAATGACATCGCCTCATAAACCACTAAGCCAATTTCATCCAAACTTCACAGGAATGTTCCTTTGGTGGTCACCTTTAAAAATTGTTCAAAGAATTTAATTCCATGCAGAACTCTGGTTGCCATGGCAACCGAAAGAAAAAACTTAAAATATCTTCTTTTAAAAAACCATAAGAGCTAGAGCTTAGATATTTGGCATGAAACATCTTCTAGTGAGTGTCTACCAAGTTTGTTCAAATAAAAGCCCTGGGGTCAAAATTGGCCCCGCCCCGGGGGGTCATTGATTTTCCCTATATGCATATAGTAAAAACTTAAAAAATCTTCTTTTAAAGAACCCAAAGAGCTAGAGCTAGGATATTTAGCATAAAACATGTTCTAATGGGTGTCTACCAAGTTTGTTCAAATAAAAGCCCTGGGGTCAAAATTGGCCCCGCCCCGGGGGTCATTGATTTTCCCTATATGCATATAGTAAAAACTTAAAAAATCTTCTTTTAAAGAACTCAAAGAGCTATGGCTAAGATATTGAGCATCAAACATGTTCTAATGGGTGTCTACCAAGTTTGTTCAAATAAAAGCCCTGGGGTCAAAATTGGCCCGCCCCAGGGGGTCATTGATTTTCCCTATATGCATATTGTAAAAACTTAAAAATCTTCATTTAAAGAACCAAAAGAGTTAGAGATAAGATATTTAGCATGAAACATGTTCTAATAAGTGTCTACCAAGTTTGTTCAAATAAAAGCCCTGGGGTCAAAATTGGCCCCGCCCCGGGGGTCATTGATTTTCCCTATATGCATATAGTAAAAACTTAAAAAATCTTCTTTTAAAGAACTCAAAGAGCTATGGCTAAGATATTTAGCATCAAACATGTTCTAATAGGTGTCTACCAAGTTTGTTCAAATAAAAGCCCTGGGGTCAAAATTGGCACCGCCCCGGGGGTCATTGATTTTCCTTATATGTGTATAGCAAAAACTTAAAAAATCTTCTTTGAAAAAACCCAAATAGCTAGAGTTTAGATATTAAGCATGAAACATCTTTTAGTGAGTATCTACAAAGTTTGTTCAAATAAAAGACCTGGGGTCAAAATTGGCCCCGCCCCGGGGTTCATTGATTTTATTTATATGTGTATAGCAAAAACTTAAAATCTTCTTTGAAAAAACCCAAATAGCTAGAGTTTAGATATAACGCATGAAACATCTTCTAGTAAGTGTCTACAAAGTTTGTTCAAATAAAAGCCCTGGGGTCAAAACTGGCCCGGCCCCAGGGGTGTCATTGTTTTTAACTATATGTGTATAGTAAAAACTTTAAAAAAATCTTCTTTTAAAAAGCCCAATGAGCTAGAGCTTAGATGTTTAGCATGAAACATCTTCTTATGGGTGTCTACCAAGTTTGTGCAAATAAAAGCCCTTGGGTTAAATTGGCCCTGCAACATTGGGGGGGTTGGGGGGCCTATATACAGGTGAGCGACCTCAGGGCCATCATGGCCCTCTTGTTAACTATAAGTTTTATTATTTAAATGCAAATGGTATTTGAGTATATGAACTTTTAAGATCATTTTATGTACATGTATATGGAAGCAGGAATTAAACTAATTATTGTCTTGTTTTATGATTCTGCAACAAATGAAATCATTATCAACAAATAGTTTGACTATATTGGTATATGTTTTTGAATTTGTTTAACTTCTTTTTTTTGTCATGCAGCTTCATAAGCAAAATATTCTAATTGTTAAAATTACATATTCATTAATAAAAGGTCACTGATTCTAATGTTTCGGAAATTAAAAAAAAATCTTACAGTCTCACAATATGTAACCTATAACCTTGCAAATTTATATAAGACACCTTATGATTGGCTAAAATTTCACCTTGACCTTTGACCCATTTGTTGTAGTATGAACCAAATCGTAGAGTCGACCATGATATAGTGAGTATTTACAGTTGAATGAATATGCAATTTTGATTTGCATCATTTGTATAAATAGCTTTCATGCTCTCCCTAATTTGCATTAATTGGTTATGTGATATTGTGATTTTTTAATTTTAAATAATTTGATTGAATTATAAACTGCGCTACATTGGTTTTTCTTTTCATCCCCTAGTGCATGGACAGTGTAAGTAGTAATATAGATAATGTTGTATTTTGTTGTTATAATGTCAATGTTGTTAGCATGGCATACCAACATTATAATACTATAATATAACACACTGGAACGTCTCAGTAGACATAAAAACCAACCTACAATAATCATGCGATAAACTTAATATCCACTTCTTAACTTTGCTGTTCTTTGAAAACAAGAAGATATATTAATATGTACATTTGTACATATTACAGCCAGTAACCAAGTGTTACACTTTCTTTTCATTTTGGTGAATAATTTCATGAACATCCTTATGTATTTATAAAAAATCTGGTTGTTTTGAAATTGACATCCAAGTAACAATAGCTTAAGAGATAGATGTCTATAGAGGTATATTTGTTTTACAAACATCACTTTCTGTTAGTTGATTGTCATTCACTGTTTTTCTTCTTGTTTCCTTTTGTATTTGGCAAGTACAGTCCTTCTGTTATTTTATGCTATACCTTGCTGCATGTTGAACACTGTGAGACTGTAAGTTATTGAACAATGATTTATTTTCTACTGTCATTATTTTGTCACTATTGTTACAGCATGTTTACGCAGGCAGACTTTTCATGTTGTTCATGTTTTAGTTTAGGAGATTTTTTATGTTTCTGTTGAGTGATTCTTCATTGTTAGTATCTTATTAGACTTGGATCATATTTGATCAAACACATTGACAAATACTGAAAGTAAGTAAATGCAAAAGAAAGATTGGTCTATACTCTTTGTGATAGATCATAGAGGCCATGATAAAATGGAATATTATATTTGAGAATGTTAAAACATATTAAATTTCAAAAGGCTTAAATTTATGAAAAAAAAATTTATCTGTTAGCTGGTATGAATTCATAAAAAGGAGACCTTCTTAGAACACTGAGGTAATTTTTTTCCTTTCTTCGTTATGTGAATTGTTTATCATTTTAAACAGGTTTCTGGAGTTAGTGTGTTAACATTTCAGATCTGCAAGATTTAAAGACCAGTGTTATTATTATTATTTCTGGTTTTGTATTTATATAGTTAATCAATATTTCAGCTTCAACCTAACAGTGCATCAGGGTCTGGAGCACTAGAACATGATGCCCACTCTCTCTTCTACAGATGTCCTATAGTAAGTTATAACTTCATAATAACCGCTGATTTATCATATTCTACCCAACTATCTTAGTTTGGAGAGTTTTACTCTTTGGCGACACACTTGTTTTTATTGTACATATATTGTATTGAAGTCACAATTCATGTTAAGCCTATTATAGCATTTGGCATGATATGACCAGTTATGTGTTGACGTGCCATAAAATTCCAAACAAACAAACAAAGAAGTCACAATTCCAAAGCTTCTCATGCCCAACTTAAGATTTACCCTTTTTGGTCTGTCAAATTATCTGGCTGTCTTGTGGTCCATCCATAGGCTGACAGTTGAATGAGACCTATTGACACATTTCTAGTTTCTTAATATAACCTCAATAAGTCATTATCCTTCATTTACAAAACTCTCACTCAATAAAATACATATCAAATGTGAAAAAACATATTATCTTTATAGCAATGCTCATTCTGTCATCAGCCTCGTCTTGTCATCAAAATGATTGTATATTTCCTAAATAGCAGCTAAAGTGTACAGATTTTCTTAGTCTGTGATAATATTGTATTATTCATGATGCACTTTGTTATATAGACAATGCACCATATTTCATACTTCCATGTAATTAATTTTCACATTTTATAATATAAGGAGAAAGTAACGTCTTATTTCATCTACTCAGAGAATGTTATTTTGACTAAGCATTATGTATTTTAGATAGTTGACCTCAACATAATTGAATTCAGTTGTCATTTTAGTACTATATTAGGCAGTGTAAATGATGATGGTACAAAATAATTTTCTTAGAAGTCTAGACTGAGTGAATTTTTCCTGAGACATATAATGAATAATGGATTGATATTTGTGACTGTATTTGTTCCAACAGAGTGACCCTATTCCTGGACCATTACCACTGGGTGTTGCAGTAATTGACAGTTCAGTGCGACTATATGGGTTGATATTCCCGAGAGTGGCCCACAAACATCGTTACCAGATGTTACAACATTTTAATGAATGCATCAAACAGGCCAAGTCTACAAGACAGCAAGCTGTACAAATGAATATATTCACTGCAGTTCTGTGTGCTCTCAAGGTTAATATTAACTCTCTTATTTACTTATAAATGTTACATGTTTTAGGGGGAAAAATGAATAAATAAAACCACATTTTCTAAACTGACTGTAATATTATTTTTTTTATTCTGTTTATGAATATAAACATTTGTTAGCTAGTTTATAAGTAATAACTAGTAATCAGTTTATCATATGATAAGAAAATGAAATTGAAATGAAAACTAGAATCTACAGGTAAAGGTTAACATAAATTAGTGCTGTAATGAACATTTTGTTAAATAATAAATTAAAAACCAATCATTGTGTTTGCAATGTATTTGAAAAATACAAAAAGTATTACTGTTTTCCTTATAAACATGCATACTAGTAGTTTTATAAACAGCTGTTATAGAACAGTTCACAAGGTATAAATGTCTATAAGAACACTTGATCAAGTTGGATCATCTCCAACAGTTTTACTGGCAGACAGTTCATCTACATATAAACTGATGTATTACATACATTGAGGAAAGTTTCAGTGCATCTATTGTAAAATTATACTATATAAACTGTACTTTGACTTTATCTGTATTACAGAGTTTGTCAGACACAAAAACAAAGTTAGGTCCTGATGAAGTTAAGAAAGCTGCTTTCAATCTTATATTGGTAAGTTGGGAAGAAATTTGTTTTTCCTCTTTATCTTTGTCTCTCTTTTTCTTTCAAAATTCATATAATAAGTTTTGTTATCAGATGACTGTCTATGTTGTTATTGTTAAAACTCTTCACTTGGTACATTGCTGTATACATTTCTTAGAATACCTGGTTTGAGTTTAAAGTTAAAATCCCAAAAAGCACTTAACAAAGACTATTAAAGTTTTTCTATGTTTGAATTATTGTAGGGAGCTTTAAGTAGTACCAACCCTATATTAAGATGTGCTGCAGGAGAAGCATTGGGTAGAATGGCCCAGGTTGTTGGTGATAGTAAATTTATAGCTGAGATGGCACAATATAGCTTTGATAAGTAAGTCACATGTGAATAAAAGTTATTTTTGAAATGATTGTGATCAGTTAGATCAAATTTATTTTTATGGAAAACATTGTTTCCTTATTTCCATAGATAGCTGTAATTTTACCATGATTCTGCAAATGTTTAATGAGACCTTAAGAATTAAAACTTTTTTGTTCTAAAAAAAACAAAACACTATAAAATATTATTCAGTTAACATTTTGGAGTTGTTTCATCTGGCTCCACCATTTTAAATGTGTAAAGTTTGTCTAAATTCTGATATTATACTATTGTTTGATGATATAATTTCAGATTAAAATCAGCAAGGGATGTGGTGAGTCGTACAGGAAACTCTCTAGCTCTAGGTTGTTTACATAGATATGTTGGTGGTATGGGATCAGGTCAGCATCTCAACACTAGTGTATCAATACTCCTTGCTCTAGCACAAGATTTTAACTCACCTGTTGTACAGGTAAGATATTCATTGATGTGGTAGCCAGTATCTTGAAAAATTCAAGATTTGATTTGCAAGATAAGAGTTCATATTAGAAAAAATGTTTAGAATGATATTATAGTACAAGTCTTTGGCAGATTTACTCATACAAAACAGTTTTATTGGTTAACCTGACCTATAATTTGTTGGTGCAAAATAAGATTCAATAAAATGAAAAAAGAAATGTATAGAAAAATTGATTAAGCTGACCAGTAATGTTTTTAAATGTTGAATAGACTAATAATAGACAAATAATAGCAACTCAATCTATTTATTTGCATTTTCAGGTTTGGGCATTACATGCTTTAGCATTGATAGCTGACAGTGGTGGTCCAATGTTCCGAGGTTATGTTGAGCCAACATTATCCCTCGTGTTACAGTTACTGTTGTCAGTACCTCCTACAACAGTTGATGTTCACCAGTGTCTAGGCAAATGTCTGTCTGCTCTCATCACATCTATAGGACCGGAACTACAAGGTATGTAGGTTAAATAAGTGCCCATTTAATACTGTAAAATACTTTTTTACCAAACTTTTTCAACCCCTTTCTTCTTATAGCCAAGATTTATGAACTGTTCACTGAAAAGATATTCATTAAACAATTAAATTCTGTGTTACATGTAAGTTGTACTGTAGACATTGGCTCAGAGTGCTTAAACAGTTAAACTTCTTTTAAAATAATTATTTCCTGATCCCTTTTAATGTATAATTATAATGTATAAAACTATAATTGTATGTTTTTTATATCTACTTACATATATGATATATTTTAGGTAATTCTGGATCAATAGCTACAGCAAGATTATCTTGTCTGGTATGTTGTGCTATTATGCAGGATCACTCTGACTCCCTAGTGCAGGCCGAGGCTGTAGCCTGTCTACAACAACTTCACATGTTTGCTCCCAGACATGTCAACCTGGGTACACTTGTACCTCATCTCTGTGTAAGTATTGTTAAATGAATTAAATAATTTATAAATATTTGTGTAAGCATATAAATATTAGATCACTTTTAAGAGTGCAGTCCTGAGGTGTTAGACTCTCAGCCCAAGAATTATTGAGTTCAAGCCAAATTGCTGTCAAATTGAGTTAATAATATACATATATGCAATATAAAGTTTTTTCCTATTCAGGAGAAGCTGGTTAGTTCCCATTTACTACTAAGACGAGCAGTTGTGGCATGTCTAAGACAGCTTGTCACTCGTGAAGCTAAGGAAGTGAGTGTTCATGCTCTAGCCCTTGCATCAGACGAGGCTGACAAGATAGAGAAGTTTGGTATCACAGAGACTGGTATGGAGGGGAAGTTGTTTGGTATGTGTGATACAGAAGTTGATGGGAAGCTGATATCAGATCTACAGGATACACTCGTTAGTTTATTACAAACTCTAGCAACAAAGGATCTGACAAGATGGTTGAATCTACTTAGAGAAATACTTTCATCTTCCACTGGTAAGCATTATATTGAAATATTCAATATGTTTAATTATAAAGCTACATGTCAGATAAATGTAAATTATCAATCTAGTACTCTTTCATGATATACAGGTTTTTCATTAAATATTAAAGAATATATGTATGTTTATAATGTAGATGCAACAAGTAACCAGCAAGATGAATCTCAAGGTAACAATAATGATGATGACGATGATGATGAAGACAATGAGAATGATGCTGAAGAGTTTACAGCTCCTGAAGTGGATGTTACTCACCCAACTGTTGCACCAAGGTATGCTTATACAACATTTAGGTATTAATTACATAAAGAATTTCTGTTTTACAAGGTAGACATTAGTCTGTAGAGAATCACTTGTGATATTAGACTTTTAGTAAAAAATGTTCATCCTAAAGTGTTGCTTTACATTTATTGGCACAATATATTTACTGTGGATAAGTATTTAAGTGAAAATAATGAAATATAGATTTGAATGAGTTGATGGCATAACATGAAATCAATTATTATTAAATAATGTATAATTTTATTACATTGCATATGGAGGTAGAAAAGTGTATGCATTGTTAAAGAGTGATCCTATACTTATAATAAGCATTACTATATATTGTAGATGGCCAACACGTGTGTTTGCTACAGATTGTTTGAGAAAGATTGTTGTAGCATGTGAAGAAGATTTAACACACTTTGATCTAGAAACTGCAAGAGAGGCTAAGAAAGATGGTAAATGTAAGTGTTGTTTAACAGTGTCTCCGCTAATTGCTATCTTTTATATCACAGATAGTTTTTGTTGTTTTTCAATATAATTCTGTAATATAACTTTGTATAACTTATAACTTGGTATCTTTGCTGTGCTGATGTTTCTTCATGGTCAAGTTTGATTACAGTTAAAAGTTAATTGGATAGATTTTATTTGTTTGTATATGAAGCCGATGAGAAAGTATTGTTTTTTGTTTATTATGTATCAACTAGATTTATTTTACAGTAGGGTTATTAAAAATTCTTAATACAGATATTTGACAATTTTAGGTGATTTCCTGGTGCTACATTTATCAGAGTTAGTAAGAATGTCATTTATCGCAGCCACATCAGACAGTAATCAACTACGTCTAGCAGGACTGGCTGCCCTACAAGATATCATCACTAAATTCTGTAATGTACCTGAGCCAGAATTTCCCGGTCATGTTATCCTAGAACAATATCAGGCACAGGTATGGATATAGGCTGTCAGTGTCCTACATGATATAATATTATATGAGACAAATTGTTGAAAATAAAGAAAATTGTATGAAGAAATGAAAGTTACTGTCATTGATACTTTTGACTAACTTAAGATGTTGTATTTGCCTTGGAAATATTACTGGTCCGTCAGTCATATTTACTAAATGACTGGTATTAATTAAGTAGATGTTGATTATTTTTCTGTTCAACCAATTATCAAATAATTAGTTTTACTGTCTCATGTTTTTCATGAATTGTAATGATATTATATATATTACAGGTAAGTGCAGCATTACGACCTGCCTTCTCTCCAGAGACACCCTCTGATGTGACAGCAGCTGCTTGTGATGTAAGTATAATTTATATATCATACTTATAAGGATTTATATATCATACCTATAACGTCTTCTCTTCAATTTATTTTCAATGAGAATATTTTGCCATTCTATGATTAATTAAGGTATTATATTTGAGGCTTTTATTTTATACATTATGTTTCTTTATGAATTAACACTCTTTTTGAATGAACAGTGTTATGTAATTGTATTATTTTATGTTTACAGGTATGTAGTACATGGATAGGAAGTGGTGTAGCGAGAGATTTGAATGATTTGAGGCGTGTTCATCAACTTCTTGTTTCATCATTGGGCAAACTTAACGCTGGCAAGTCCCAGTGTGCTTTATACAACGAATCTGCATCTACCATGGAAAAATTAGCTGTTCTCAGAGCATGGGCAGAGGTAACATTTACACTGTTTTGTACTTTTTAGTTGAGAAGCTTGTATTTTCAGATCTTTGTGTAATAATCACTTCTAATAAAATATCATCTTTGTTTGAACCTTTTCTGTAATATTGGTGATCATCACTATGCCAGCAGTATAGAATCAAGCCAATCTAAACATTAAAGAAGACATACTAAACCCTATACTGATGTTTGCTCAATTTTAACAATGTTTTTATTTAAATACCTGAAAATACTAATGACAAAAACATAGGAAGTCCCTTAAAGTCATCATTCAGCAGGATAAGAGATTGAGACCGATATTTTATTTACAATTCTGTATGATTATGTAAATATAATTCTGCGAGTTAAAATCATCTTTTAGGAAGGACCTCTTTATTGCTGTCTCATATGCGGTCATAATTTGACAGTTTCGTCTAAATTCATTTTCAAATATTATTTTCTATTTTATAAGCAAGAACAGTTTGTTTTATTCATTGACCGATGTTAGACGAAAAGAAAATGTATACAGTTGTTAATCCTTTTGTACATTACAGGTATATATAGTAGCTGTAAGTCGTGAACATGGTAACCCTGACACATTACTCAAGTCAACTGATGAAGATGATTTTGACAACAAAGGGGAAAGTTTGCTAACTCTAGTACAGTCGGAGTTACCTACCTTAAGTCAGAACTGGTTTCTTGCTCTCAAAGATCATGCTCTTTTATCTCTTCCTACAGGTAAGTGACCTCTTTTATTATTTCATATAATTCTTTAAGTTATTTCATAACAGAAAACTTGAAATAAAGTTACTAAGAAATTCAATATTTTTTTTTGAGAATTGTCTATCATTTAACATTTCAAATAGCTCTAGATGTTAGATCATGATAGATATTGTTAATTCTTTAATTGGTGTAGATGTTTGATTGAATGGTTAAAAAGCCAAGAAAAATACAAGTTTTGACTGTATACTAGTATATAGATTTTGTTTAATTTATATGTGAACAGAATTCTCTGGGCAGTTACCATCAGATGGTGGAGCATTTTACCATGTAGACACAATTGACTCTGCACGACCCCACTATAGGAAGTCATGGCCATCTATATTACATGCCTTGGCTATATGGTTGAAAGAGGCAGGTTTTGCCAAGTTGAACAAAGATATGGGGCACCCTGGAGGGGAATCACAACCAACAAATGCTCCTGCTAATCTATACTCAGAGGAGGCCAATGCTGAACGACTCTATCTAATTATTGGTAAGGCATTTACATACATTTGTATTTATATTATATTGTATGCTATAGAAAATATTCTGCTTCTGAAAATTTAAGATGATATTTTTCATGCCTAATTTTTTCTCCAATATGAAAAAGTAATGAATAAAACTGTGATGTATTACATTTTGTGTCCATATTTCCATACCATTTGTAGTTATAATATTGGTAAAAAATTAGACAAGAAGTAGCAACTGACTTTTATGATATTTTTACTTCATATGAACAATTAATGACAATAACCATACACAGTCACTTAAGAAAGTTTCTTTATTTTCAATATGTGTTGTTTTTCAATAGTATATATATATGCAAGTTACATACTTGCAGATTTAGCAAGCTATATTTAACATCTAGTGGTAGACGTGACATTCATATTTGTGAAGTGTTACTTAATGTTAATGTTATTATGTTTCCTCTCTGAAGGTATATGTGTTGAAGCTATGTGTAATACGACAATCCAGTTACCAGAACATACTGCTGAGACCTGTCTACATGCAATACACGCCCTACTTGAGTCTCCCTGGGCTCGCGCTCAAGTTGCCAAAGATCCCGTTCTATACAAGGAACTTCTAAATGTCATGCATAGGTAAGATAAATAGAAATAGTGTGGTTACTACAATAAATAAGTATAGTTTGATTAGCATGATACTTTGATACTGTTTAATTTCTCAACATTTGAATCTTACTCTTAATAATACTTTATCTCAATAATATTGATATTGTTTTATCTTGTAGTTTCCTCACATAAGTGTAGAGGCTTATCTTATAGTGTCAAATATGTATGCTTATTTGTGTATTTCAGGGTATTTTTAACTCACTCTGGTGTAAAAGTACATTTAGCTGTGATGGATGTTGTCAGATGTGTTGTTAAAGCAGCACAAGAACATCTTAAATTCCTCAAACAGATGGAAGGTAAATGCATGTTTATAGCAAAGTTAAATTAGATTTGAAGACAGTTACAAATTATTTTCGAAAAATATAAGGTTGATTTTTTGAGTAATTGTAGCTTTCGGCATAAGTGCATTGTTACCATTTACGCTTATTAAATCATTTACTTATTTAGTAACGTTTGTTAACTTTGTACAATCTTGTTCACAGAATCAAAATCTGACAAGGAATCAAAAGAAAGTAAAATACTGCTGCCACCTGGTGGTGAGGGTGGTGAATCAGGGGAAGTGATTCCTGGTCAGTCTATAGTCTTTGCTACATTAGAGGTGTGTTTAGGAGTATTATCACGCCGTGTTCCGGCCTTGAACCCAGCTGCACAGACCACAGGGTTCCAGATGTCTAAAAAACACTCACAGGTGACTGAGGAGATATCACAACTTCTCTCTAATGTTGTACAGGTGCTAGCTGATCTATCCAGTCTTTGTTCTGTCCCAGGTAAGACACTTTTAACCATTTTGCAAATGTTCATTGTAAAATCTAGAAAGGATAATGTTGTAGTCTATATGATATGTAATTAGCTTTCTTACAAGAATCTTTGTCTCAAGGTATTGGTTAAAGTTATGAATAGATCTCAAAAAGTATACCATTAGTTTTGTATTTTAATACTTGATTAAATATATCAATATTTTTCATTTATATTAATGGATGGTAACTGTAACAATGATATTTGGATGGTAGAAATTGCTTTCAAGCTGTAGTCATTTAAATTATTCTTATACTTGATAATAATATTTCTAGTTGTTGCTGACATTTTGACATATGGCTGACTATGAAACTATAATTACAGGGAGTTTAGCTGTTCTTCCGACGGTGTTTCACCTGATACTGGGACTGCTGAGAGAGATGTCTCCTATATCTATGGATAAACAGAACAGTGCTGTTGTCACTGTGTGTATTAACTGTATACGAACTTTGCTTAACTCTAAAAGATACGAGGGTGATAAGAAATTACCTGATTGGCATAAACTCATTCAGAGTTCTCTAGCTACTGTGATAAAAAATTCTATATCTGGTATGTATATGTTGGGATTTCTGTTACCTGATTTGTTGACATATTGTAATACTAGCAACATGCACCATGCACGTTAAGAAATTTCACAATCTGGACCTGCTGATGTTTGGTTATTTAGTCTGACCTTGAAGTGTAAGGAATGACCAGTTAATGACATAAGTTGGAAAAAAAATCACTCTTGGTATTTAAGATATACTCTGCTGTCTACTTTGATTTCAGTATGAACAAGAATTCATTGATGAATGTACGGTACTGGTTAAACAGATACCTTTCCTCTATTGTTTTTGTCCATTTATAAATGGCTTGAATATGATGAGGTTATTATACATTATTGTTGAGTACAATACTGAATTCTATTGGACAAATACACAGCTGCCAAAACTATATTGGACAAGGGGCTAATCAAATCTATGTAGGTTTTGCAGCTGTGTAAAAGTCCTATAGAATCTGTATTGTTCTGATACACGTTTAATGACTTTTTCATACCTCCATTTTTTGACATTTTAACAGAACTTTCATTACTTCAATTGCAATAAGGATTTGATATAGAATTTCGGAACTCAAAAAGGAAATTGATGATAGATTGAGTATGATATGTATTTAATAAATTATAAAGATATTTTGGACTCTAAAATTGAAAACAAGGCTTTACGGGATGCAATATGGATTTGATATGAATCTTTTGGATTCTGGAAAATGGGGCTATATTGGGTGTGATAAGGATTTAATATTATTTTTTTGGACTTTTTAAATGAGAACGAGGCTAAATTGATAAGAATAGATCCAATAATGATTTCTTTTTGTACATGGTGCAAATGCTGAAAGTGCATTCATTTTATAAGGTGTGAAATAAATTATATTACCGATATTATCTGTAAATACTGGTGACATTTGGTTTCCGGTTCCGGTGTAAATAGTCGTTGTTGAATTTGCAGGCGAAATAAAATGAAATTTTCTGGATTATTTGTGCCTTAAATGGATTAACTTATAGATGAGTGGTGAGAATGTATCTATGTTATTGAATGCAAAAAACTCGGAACTGTGAATTTGATACATTTTGTGATATTTGAATTGCCATTGATGGCCTTTGTTATATAGTTGGCGGTTATAGTTGGTCATTAGCTAGGACATCACTTAGATTTAATAACTACATACCTATATTGACCGCCTGATCGTCACGCTTGACTTAACTGTAATCAGCAAAACAGATCTATACTTATTGATACTGTGTTAAGGAGATAATGGGGATTACGATCGGACTATGGCGAGCAAGAATCGGGTTAATGATCTCGTAAAATATATGAGATCCGGTTCTACTCATGGAATATTTCTATCCGAAGATACAGGCCAGTTGTACGCTCTTCTTTTTGCCGATGACGTTTCAACATTTGCAGATACAGCTATAAACTTACAAAGACATATAAATACCATAGAAACGTTTTGCAATAATAGTGGACTACAATTAAACACCGATAAATCTAAAGTCATGGTTTTTCGAAACGGTGGCCCATTGCGTAACTACGAACGCTGGTACTTTAATGGCATCAAATTAGAAGTGGTATCATACTATAAATATTTGGGACTATATTTCACTCCTAAATTGTGTTGGTCTCTCACGCGAACAACTCTTGCCAAACAAGCTTCTAAAGCAGTGTATTGTATTCTGAGTCAGCAACGATACTTTGGTACCTTTAGCCCTAAAGACGCTTTTAAATTATTTGACACGATAGTCCGACCGATTTTGTGTTATGGTGCAGAAATTTGGGGCTATCAGTATTCAGCCAGTATTGAGAAAGTGCACACAGACTTCTGCAGACGTATTTGTGGTCTAAACCAGAATGTAGCTAACTTTTTCCCGCTCCGCGAATGTGGCAGGGCTCCAATTTCAGTACATTATATAACCAAATGTGTAAAATACTGGACTAAACTATTAGAAATGCCAAATGAGCGTTATCCAAGACAATGTTATTTAATGCTACGCAGACTAGACGAGGCCGGTAGGAAAACATGGGTAACCTGTATTAAGGATGTTTTGTTTGAATATGGGTTTGGATATGCGTGGATTGCTCAAGAAATTGGAAATTATACAAACTTTATGGCATTACTGGTTGATAGAGTCAACGATCGAGCTACGCTAAATATCCTCTCGCAAGAAGAAAACTCACCCAAAGCCAATTATTATAAGCACTTTAAATCACATCTAGATACAGAGAGATATCTGTCAATACATCTGCCATTTAAATTGAAAAGACAATTGGCGAACTTTAGATGCTCTGGTCACAATTTAATGATTGAAAAAGGACGCCACCAAAATATTGACCGACAATTCAGATACTGTCCATTTTGTCTATATAACCATGCTCATTATGTTGAGGATGAGTATCACATGTTGCTCATATGTAAATTATATGATGAACTGAGAACACAATGTTTTATTCAAACTTGGCTTAACTGTGAACCAAACATTAATTTATTTTATTCAATTATGTCATGTGACGATGAATTGGGCATTTTCGCTCTTGCAAACTATATATACAAGGCTTTGGAAACTAGAAATATGTTTATTAAAAATGTTGGAACATCCTAATTTAACTAACTGGAACCGATAATATGAACTAGATGATGTTAAATGCATAACAAATTTATACAGTGAACAGCATTTAAAGAACACGAATAAGTTGTTCCTTTGCTGTGCTTTAAAATACATTCTTAAATTCAGCAGTGTTAATGTTGATAATAATACTCTTGTTACTCACTTATTCGTAAAAAAATTACCGCTTTTGTATTGATCAAGAATAATATTTTATGTATATGAATTATATATTGTTGATGCATCATTTATTTTGTAAATAATGAACTATTATAAAAAAAATGTACAATATTATGTGTATCGTGGGCCGGAGGCCTCTAACTACAATAAAACGTATGTTATGTTATGTTATGTTATGTTTATATTGAAAGTTGTGATATATTGCTTAAATGATATTAAAGACTAATAATGTGATATACCTTTTGTAATGATAGATGCAGATTATCCTGGTATGGATGAGACAACATATCTCTACACCATCACTGTGTTCATTATATGTGCATCACATGTAATCAACAAAAATATTGTGTTAGTGAAACCCTGCATAAAGGCTTACCTAGACTGCTGGCAGTCTGAACATACACATGTAAGTATCTTGCTTTATAATCTAACACTTGTTAACCTGGGATAAATACCGGTACCATAAAGTTACATTATAAAATTTGTTAAAGGTTATTTTGTGTAACTTTATTTCTCAGTAACTATTATATGCTGCATGTAGTTGAATCACTGAATGTTTCTTACTATTGAATGTATCTTATTTAATTACTAGAATAGAATAAATTAGAACCTTATGACACTGCTCAAGTTTTGGTGCAAAGTATCAAGCCGAGATATTGAAGGGGTTCTGATATAAGCTCTCATATTAAACTTGGAATGTGAACCCATTAAATGAGACTCTTCAGCATTATACTGAGGTCAACATTAAAATGGGCCTTGTATAACAGGGTCCCAGTGTTTCTATAATACTTACTCTTCAAAAATCTCACAATCTTTCAAAATCTTTAAAGTCTGCATTAATTTTGTCTTACCACATAAACTTTATAGTTTTTCTTGGACACTATAATAATATTTTACTTTGTTACAGATATGTGATAGGTTTGTTTTACCTTTTATTTAATATATATTTTGATAGATCTTCTACCTTTGAGACAAAAAAAAAAATATGATTTGTGATTATTTTTCAGATAAGATTAAAGTGTTGTCAGTTATTTACAACTCTGATCTCCCAGATCAGTTCAGAAGATGCCATGCCTTATATTCATATAATGGCTCCTAAAATCATTGACTACTTATACACGTGTAGCACGAGTCCACCTGAAACAGAGTTAGAGAGAGATCTACTCCTTGCTTCTATTAACACATTTCAAATGTTGATAGGAATAGCTGAAGAAAATAAAAGTAAGTATAACAAATGTTGAATTTTTACAATTATGGGACAATATTCTAGTCAATTAGTTGTTTGTTTTGTGATTAAAAAAAGAAAAAGAACAAGTCTTGATTTATGGATAAATACTATGTCTTTTGCTGTTATGCCAGTGTCAATAGGCAAATAAAGAGTCCTAGATATTCTTAATCTTGTTTCAATTATTAGAAGTTAAAAGAAATACATTTAAAGTGGACTGTTTTAGGATTATATGTAAGATAGACCTCCATTTTGTATTTACAGGAATAACTTTGCTGACAGTTTTTCTCCCCATTCTTGTGTCATATCTACTGGATGAGAAATCTTTACCCACAGCCAGTAAAATATCTCGTAGAATACATGATGAGAGTCTCTCACATCTCATGAAGATAGGTCCACAGTATCCAGCACAGTTCCGAGTAATCATGACAAAACAAACTGATCTTAAAGCTCGGCTTGAAACAGCAATAAAAGTGAACCAGGAAGCTAAGAGTGCACTGATCAAAGCCCAGGAGAAGGCAAAAATAGCAGCACAACCTGCTAAACCAACCATTACACTCAAAACAAACTTTGGTAGCTTTGCTTGATTTAAAAACCAACCTTTCTGTAACAAACAAAGCTAGAACATTTATGATAAAGTCTTAAGATCCGATTTAGAATTTGGTTGTCAGCTGCAAATGTTCAGAAAAAGTTGGAATTTAAACTCCTCTCAAAACTCTAGTGATGGTTTTACTCTTGTGTTGTGTTAATTTGTATAAATGAGATAATACCTGTCTTTCAGTCCTGATATTTATATAAAAACAGGCAGAGTTATAGCAATACTATTTATATTAAATCAAGAAATCGCTCCAGAAGATTTTGAATGAATTTTAACTATGATTGCTTCATGATTTTAATATATATACAATGTACATGATGTCACTTAAACAACATTGAGACTAAGTAAACAAACTGTTATTGATTTGACATTGTTGATTGCTACCTGAAATTGACCTGAGAATTTCCGTTGGACTTTCATTACCAACATGGCAAAAAAAACATTTATGTATATAGCATATAGATTATGTGTATTTATATTAAGTTATTTATTATTATATATCATATAATGGTGCTAATGCATAACAACGGTGTTTCTACTATCACTTGTACCATCTTCATTACCAGATAATTCACTTTACCAAAGATTCTGTTGTAAGGTAAATGCTAGCTTTTCATTTAATCAGGGTAATAAAACATTAACTAGGTAAACTTTTCTTATAGTTACAATATGGTGGAAATGTAATGGCTTTAGGTAGTCTGAGTTATGCAGATAAAAAAACAATAAAAAACAAATTTAAAAAAAAAACAACAAAGATTTGATAACTTCTTATTTTAATCTGGAAGTTAGTATCAAAGTAAAATTTGGAATTAATCTAAATTGATGGGCATCATTTATTATTTATAAAATGCTTTAAAATGAAATGATTTAATTTTTTTTAATTTATATCATTAATTGAAAAGATGACAGTATCCTTAAAAAATAAAAATCCTTACATGTATGAAGATTTTTTTTGAAAATAGAAATTGTGCAATACCATGTATAGATATTCCATTCATTGTAATAAACAACATTTATTGATTACTAAAATTGTCATTACTGATGGTCAACAATTTTGTGTTACATACACAATTTGACAAAATCATGTTTGTCTTTGCTTGTAGAATTGATATACATAATATAAGAGAGCCAGAAAATATTTTAATCTAGCTGTACTATGATATTTGTTTTATTTTTCTTGCGATTGTTAGACAGAATAAATATGTCGCGAAAGGCCTAAATTTAAGTATTGTCTATATGTGTAGCTATGGAATAGCATCGAAATATATTGTTAATGAACTTATCAGAAGTGATGGGGAATTTAGTGGACTCGCATGTGATAATAAAGATCTACTTCAAAGAAAAAAGCACAGAATATTGTGTGCTTTAATAACAAATGTAAATAACAGTTTGATGTTGATCTGGCTTAATTTTGATGAAGGTTGTATTGGAGAGAAATAAAATTATGAATTGTGTTTAAAAATCTAAACAGATTTTTACATGTTTATACAATTGTAGTTTTGTATACCAAAGGCTTTTTTAGATGACTGTAAATGTTACAAAAATATGAAATGTTTTATTTTTGATTGAAATTTTGTATTTTAAACAAAATAGATTGAATTCATGCAATAATACACTGGAACATCACAGTGTAGTATTTATGTATTCTTTTGTGAAGAAATACAAAGGTTATAATGCAGTGATGTGATTGGTTGATGCTTTTTGTTTGTTGTTGAATATATAACTTTATGTACATATATGTAAAAATTCTCATATGACCCTGTAAGGCTTCATGTATATTTTGCATTCTCTTGTAAAGATTGTTTGTATGAAAACATGCAATATATAATCATTTAAGAAGATAAAAACTTAACAAACGCTCCTGTGTTTGTCATTTCTTCTAGCTACATTTTTCTCTCAATTTTGAGTACACAGCAACTTTTAGACACAACATTGAATTGAACTGAGTTTAATGAAGAGATGTTACCAATATTAATAAATTTTATTTAAGATCTTTGGTAACAGATGTAGGTATGTGTTTAAAAAGGCATTCTTGCTCTTGAGATGTGGTTATTGCAAGTTTGACCTAAAAATTTTTGTACAGAATTTAAATTTCAAACGTCACAAGTGAAGTGGTTTTATGTTTTTAAAATGTTACTTTACCTGTTACTTTTTAAACAGTTGATAGATGTACAATATACATTGTATTCCAACTGCTTGTACTAGATGAATGTTCATTCAGGTAATGACAAAAAATACTGATTTCACACTTCACCAAGATGAGCTCAATGTCGCATCCCACAAACTTGTATTCAGATTTGTAATTTCTTGATCAATCAGCTACATAAGGAAAGTATCAACAATTGCATTTTAACATTCACATAAAGAGTGAAAAGACTGCTCACAATATGATTGTGAATCTGGTTCCAAAGGCAGACAGGATCTTCAGTCTCTATATCAGGATATATTTGCATCATCTATGAATGGGAAAACATTGAGGTTTTAATGCAGGAAAATGCTGTTTGATCAAGGTCTGAACCACGGATTTATATTACAATATAAATCCATGTCTGAACTAATAACATGTGTGCAAAATTAAAGATCACTGGTTTACTCTTTTATTTCAGAATAATTACTTTTCAACTCGATTCTGAGTAGGCCCTGATTATTATTTTTTTTTGCATATTTTTTTCCATTTCAAGTTCATCAGTACTGATGATATGTATGGAAAAAATTTAAATTATATATACTTTTGTGCATTTGAACATCATGGTTTAAAAGAAATTAATATGTGATATAATGGTGTGAAAAATGTATAGTACGAATAAAGAAAACTCAGAGTAGCGTCCCTTTAATATGTATTAATGCGCTGATTTTGTCGATATTTTTTTCTAAAATTCTATATTATTACAGTTTCCTGAAGCGTGGTGACAATGCCAGATTCATTTTGTATAATCTACAATAAAAATATCTATACTTTCTTCATGAATTATGTCTAAATTTAAATTTATATGACCTAGCAACAGCGGATGTTTACAGCGTCATGAAAGGTGTTGTAAGGCCATCTAGAAACACGGAAGTTGAACATACTGGATAATTCTTTCTCTAAATCGCCAGTCTAACGTTAAATTCGATTAAATAAAGATGTCCGGTGAACGTCAACCATTGTCACCCGCAGAGGCGAGGGAACTTGGAGAGCAGAGAGAGTCATGGTGTGCTGTAGAGATGAAAAAAGAACAAAGTTGGTGCCGAAAGGAAAGAATGCACACAGATGAGATTTTACGAAGTTCAGTATTTGAAGTTCAAAGACCTGAATATGAACCAAGATGCACTTTTACTGTGAATGCACCAACGCACAGAGAAAGAAAACATTTTAGACAGCAATGTAAGTTCATGAATACACGGTGCTTCTTGCCTCTAGGCAGATTGGATCCATGTCATTGCATACAGTGGAATCATGCCAATAATTGATTATATTTATAAGACAAGCCTATCAAACTTTTCCATTTTTAGATACAGGTTTATCTAGTTCAGCTGACCCCAGAAGTAATTGAGTGTTCATGCATTTCTGTATGCGGCTATTTTGTTTCTAGCCTCTCGGTGATATTCAAAATTTTATTGTTGTTTTAGAATAATCCTGTTTAAAGCGTTGATATGGGGGCAGCAGCACTCTGTAAGCAAGCATGCGTTTATCTTCCAGTGTTCGCTGAACTAGATGCTTCCACAATTTTTAGAAGAGTACATGTTGTTTACATCAATTAAATTGTATACATGGTTGGAGAGGTAAATCTGAAGGTGACACAAAAGAAGTACAAGTTTCCATTGTCATAAATAAGTTTTTTAGTGTGCCATAAAATATTTGAACCAACTTTTCGGTGCAAAATTTTAAATATACGTGGAGATAATTAAGATATTGCAAAATGTCTTAGATTAGATGTCTGAGTTATCTCTCCAACAAATATACTACACTACATATGTAATGCTAAACAGTGGAATATAAACCAAAATAGATAATATTTTGTTGATTTTAATCATGTTTTTTATCATTCCCACATTGTAATTGTATTAGTAGTGAAACATACTATTATACATACTAGTATCTTTACTGAAAAGTGAGGTACTGGGCATGTAACAGAACCAAGGGGTCTCTTCAATAAGAGCTAGGGACTAGTTCCCGGATTCCCTTGTATCTCATAGCTGTCTCTGAAGTCTGGAGTTATGTCTACATCCCCGTGAGGGGTTTGACATTAATGGAAGATAGATAAATAAAATATGATAACACAGTTCTCTGAAAGGATTATGTACCATTGCCAACCCACCTCTGCTAAGGCAAGTTTTAAACTTTTGTCAGGCTTGGTCTACTAAATCTAGATGCCAGGGCTTATAGTGGGTATTTTACAATCACAAATTTCATCTGTCTGTCTCTACATGGCTATGCCATAACCAGGGGTTTGAAAATCCAAAATTCCAAGTCTGGCTTCCTCTTTCATTCTATTATTTCACAGCTGCCATATTTGACTAAAATCAATAATTTATACATAAGCAACCAAGATGTTCAGGAAGTGTTGTTCTGTTGAAGTCTCCATTCTAGTTTACAATCTCTTTTAAACATAAAATTAACAAAAGGTCCTTATACATACGGTATTTGCAATCTTAAACATACATTATTTTATGTTAATTCCTTTATTAATTCCAGCATTCTTAAGATAAAGTAAGTATTTGTAGAACAATAAAACTATGTTAACCTGGAATGTTAGAATATAAAATAATACGGTCATTTCTGCTTTGCATGCCATTATTAACTTTAAATTTTAAAGTTAGCATACCGTTAGTAGTTTATCAAAACATAGAGCTAGACAGTAAAAGAGCTTTCATAAATACTTGTTTCTTATTTATCTGTGTTATATATTTTCAGTAACATACATTATGTACATATTTATCTTTTTTGTTAACTAAATAGACACAATTAGTTTATCGATACTTTTTTATTTGTAGTCTAGGTCCCCAGCAGGGACTAAATGGGAGATATATATACATGTATTTCATTGATTTTATATTTCTTTTGAAGAATTCTGAACTTATTTATATAAAGTTTTACATCATACAAGCTACATCATTGCAACCATTTCACTGTGTTCATAGAATTTTACAGAAGTACTAATAAATGCAAATGAATAATTTGATAGAAAAGCTTTTTAATATATTTACTATAACACTGCAAATTACTAATTCATTTTATTTGCCAATTTAGAATTTATTTTGTTCAATTATTTCTATATGTAATAGGAAATCAACTTAAACACATTCAATACACCCTTAGACTAGTCTTTTTTTAGAAGTTCCAAAACAAACAATTATTCAAACATTTAAAATGATGTTCATTTGAAGATTATGAGAATTTTCATGTAATTTTGTTGCGATTAATGCTTCTGAGGGATCACTTTGTTTCCAGATTTTTATTATGCATTTTGTGATTATTTCATAGTTAAGATGTATTAATGTATTTAATTTACAATTATGAAATTGTTTTTGTTTTTCAGTTACAAGCCAGATCAACATCTAGTGATGAGGATGTATTTTGGTCAAGCCAACATCAAAATGTGAAAATAACAATCAAATTTTAAACTTTATTTCATTTATACATTTGTGTTAATTTATTCCAAGAAATATAAGAAAAATACAGTGTCATTACTTATCTCATTTGTATACCCTTTGTGTTGAACTGGAATGTTCTGCCTTATTTGGCTAATGAAGTTTAATTAATGAAGTTTAATTATACAGTCATGGCAAAAGAATTTATCCTTAAAGTATTTATTAACAAACTTATCTCAGCCTTTTAACTGAATGTATAGTAACCATATTCATTGCTTCAATTATGTTAAAGGCTTACAAAATGTGAATAAAAAAAATTAAAATGGTAATAAATAGTTTTTACAGAAATGGAAAATTTTAATATAAATCAAAATGTATTAAGCATTATTTTATAAAAAATTTAAATCATTATTGTTGTTAGGGATGTTGTTTTTTAAATTGTCTGTTGTTACTTTGTTGTTGAATCAAGGTTGTTTGAAACTTAATACATAAATCATGTAACTTTATTAAGACCAGTCATTACCAGTATTATTATATGATGGTAAAACATCATGCTGTTAACATATGTTTACTAATCCTTATTATTTGTTGGTATGTTGAAATTGTAACATTACCTAGCAGTATTATTCTAAAAAAATGCAATACAATTTATCTAAAACATTATTTTTATATACATACGAGTATATGCAAAAGTACTGTTCAAGGAATATAGTTTTTGGTGCAGAACTTTTTCACAGCTAACAGTTTGTACTGCCAGAACTAATATGATTAACCTCTTGTTAAAATAAATCTTAAGTTTTATGTAGCATATAAAGTTTAGTAAGTTGTTGTTGTAAACATTGTCAGTATTATGATGTATAAAGTATTAACAATACAGTGTACCCGGTATCTAACATTTCATTTTGCTCAAAAACAATAATTTTTGTTCTATATTGTTGTTTGTGTCACTAAAATAAGTGAAAATTGTAGCATGGTTGTTTATTCTTTCTTTTTTCCATTCTTCACATAAGCTATTGCTTCTACCATGTCCATATCAGCATGTAATAATGCCTTTGCATCAAGTGACTAACTAAATTTATGAAATATGTCATTTACGTCATTCTTGGAGTAATGTGATTTCTAATCTTTTTTTATAATCAGCTCTTGCATGGAAGGGTTTTTTAATGTAATACAATAATACAAAAAGTTCTTTATGGCAAAAAATATGCAATGAGCTGTTTTGATTAGTATATATATTTAAATATCAGTTTTGGGAGTAAGTTCTTCATCTCGAGAAACATTGAGAGATTAAGAATGAAGAATTTTCATCATTGAAAAGGTTCTTCAAGCTATGACATCACAATCTTGACACACCACCAATATAAAATTATGGGCAACTTTAAATGGTTTAGTTAACAAACTGACCAGTCTTTAACAGCAAAAGGAAGCAACTTTAAATTATCAGAAATGGAAACTGTTACAATGTTCTCTCCCTATTTACTATTATTATTATTCCAAATACAAGTCTTCCAACAAAAGGAAGTGAAAAAATATTGCATTAAAACTGTTTGTATTAATAACGTAAAAATGAAGCCAGGGTGTTTCTGTTCAATTTAGGATTTATTCTTTAACCTAATCACAATGTGATATTAACTGGACTTGGTTCAAACTTGGGAGTTTTCTATTTCTTATATAGAAAACAGTGTAAATATTGCTAAATTTAAAATATTTTTAAACTGAAAAGAAGTGTATCACATAAATTAGCAGGGTAAAATATATAAACGGTATACCATGATCCAAACAGAAACATACATTAACTTTTAACATGTAGGTCATTCATAAATGACAAGGATTTTCTACTTTTATGCCACTCCATATCTTCATTGGCAGTTTATTCATTCTTCTTACGCACTTCATATTAAAGCCAGTGAAAAATATGTATGTTTATCCACACTTGTCTTAACCAAAGTACAATGTACTTTGAAATTCTATCGATAAGTTATAATACATTCATAAATACGATGTACTCCATATTTATTGAATTTCAAACTTGTGTAGTTGTAACTAATAGAGGGACATATTAATGTAATTTTACATTCGTTCACACTTTTTAAACATTCACACAATTCAGGGTCTGAAAAAGCCTGTCTGTATAACATCCCCATGCAGAGATCTTTATTGCAATTTAAAATGCAAGAAATGTTCTGTAGATGATTTTGTGAACTGCATCATATGGCAGAGAAAATCAAGAATCTTATAGAAAAGAGAAGACTTGTATTTTGTGACTGGTAACATTTCCTTGATAATTATCATAAAAACATAAAAGAAAATTATAAACAACACAATGTATATTATATTGCATTTTTATTTTGTTCCATTAACATAATTCAATAATATGAATTTCTGTAGTAAGATTTAAAATCTGTATGCTTTTGATATAAACTATGCTTTTTGACTTTAAACATAAAGGGGGGAATGGTTATAATCATTTATATATAAAACATGATAATGATATGTAAAATGAGTATACTACATTCTGTAAACAATAAAAACTATAATCTGAAAACATAAAACAATATAAGAAGATAAGTAATTTGTAATTTAATATCAATTTTTACAACCATTGAAACATGACAAATCAAATGGACATTAAACTTGGACTTGCTTTCTTCTAAAATTTTGTCTATATACACTACATGTACATTAAATCAACTAGATCTGGTAACTCAATGAAATACTTATTTTAATACATACAAAGTTATACTAAACAATACCTTTTTGATCAACATCTAACTGATTGAAAGTAAAACGCTAGTTTGGACCTCTATGCATTAGTATCAATTTGTGTAACTGAAAATCAGTTATAACAGCATACATTTAATCGGTCTATAGAAGGAAACACTTGAGTGTCCAGACAAACAGTAGGTACATTTGAAACTATAAACTGCCTTTAACTGTACCTTATCAAACTATTAAAACTTTGCTGAAATAAAATGAAACAGCTTTCTCAGATATTTATAGCTATAACTTAAACATTATGATAAAGTTGTAGGAAGACGTTACCTGCATTATTTTGATATGTTGACACTAAATGCGCTTAAACAAAATAAAATACCTTGCCTCACTTTTTTAGATGTAAAGGTACACAAAATCTGCATAAATTGCTGTGATATTCTACAAATTTACAACTCTTCAATAAATACTTCAATGCCAACCAGAAGTCATCTTTTATATTACATTATCACAACTTTTACTTATTCATATCAACACGTTTTCTATACAATATATTGTCAACCTTAAAACTGAAAGAAATTACTATTGCAATCCAATATTGACACAAATTTTGCTATATTTTGTCAAAATCATCGAACTGATTTTTTTGTTTAATAAATGTCTGTAAAATTTTATATGCACATGTATCTATGTATTCTGTGTATGAAAAATTCCTATAAAATAACATATATTTCAAATGATTACATATCTTTCTTTTTCTTTCGCAAAAACATTTTTACAGCAACAGCAATTAAACAAAAAGAAGACAAATAATTCATTTCAATGTTAACAGAATTTATATAATTGCACCAAAAAAATAATTCTCATAAAAATTTACATTTTCCTTAAATTGTGTTTATCAATATCTTACATACATCTTACAATCATTTCCTTTGCAGTAATTAATTTAATTTTACTTCACTTTGCTGTTATATTTCAAACAATATGATACAACAGCATGAAGGCACTATATTTTCTGATTCAATTAACAATCAATTAATACAGTATGTTGATAAGGTGAACTTTAAACACTGCACTCTTTATATTTCTATGTCATAAAACTTGAACATATACAACTATCATGTATACAGTTATATATTATTGCAGTATATTATTCAGGTTTAATCTGGTTACACTTGTGTATGTACTCTGTCCGTTATAGAACTAAGTAAATCCTTGCCTGTTTATACATACACTATAATTATGATATGGTATATGTCATCAATACTTCACAGTCATGTGACCAGTATTGTCCAATCAGTACTGTCCTTGGATTAAACCACTTTCCAATAGTGAATATGACCATTTCTATCACTCTCCTTAGTTTCTTAACTTACTCAACCTTACCATAGACACAATCCGTCTCACAGGTTAAATCCATGTCAAATAATGACCTTTAATAGTTAATGTTACTCTACATTCTAGAGAACAGATCAACGCATCCAAGTCATTGGTACCCACTGTGGCTCCACCTCTATCCTATTTATTTCAGTTGTAAGTTCATCAAATGCTTTATCCATGTCTGTATTCACCAGGACATAATCAAAGAAATGTCCAAATTTGTCCTCCATCTCACGAGCACGCTCAATTATATCTCTCAAATCATCATCCTAAAAAAAGAGAACAATTTAAAGAGTGATATTTTTGTTTGATTAAAGTGATATCATTTCAAATATGGGAAAAAATATATAAAATATAAAGGAAGTGTTGCTGGTATTAATTAAACAAAATTTACATTTTTAAATATGCTACCCTATGAAACATGACTTTGTGTTTTCTCTTTAATAAGGAAACCTTAAACACTTTTTAATCAATTCAACTCTGACTTTGATAGACACAAAATATAAAATTAACTAAGATTAAAAGCTGTCATAATTACAATCAATTAATCAATCATTAAATAAATAAATCAATCAATAATCAATCAATAAAAAAACAGAGTACTATTTGCTTAGTTTTTTCTAGTATTCAAAGCAGGTGATCTAACAAATATTAACTGGTATGTTTAATGAGTTATGTACCTTGATATTTTCAACACCAAGCCTCATTTGTATCTGTCGCAGTTTTTCAATGTTTGGAGGATAGACAAATATAACATATGGCTTCAAATCAGTCTGATGTAACATGTATAATGCCTGAAAATATACAACATTTATATCTATAATAATTTAAACAGTCAATAAAGTGTACAAATCATGAACTATCTGGAATTCCCATTCCCTGTAAAGCGGATAATATCAACATGTTTAAAGCAATATTCAAGAATACAAACGAACCTAACATAATTTATAAATCATTAAATTGTTTATCCTTTTGAATCCTTTATCAAACTCAGGTTGATTACAAAAAACAAACTAGAAATGTGACCATAGGGCACAAATGTCCACATATACCACAGTTTTGTCAGTCAATGGATGGACAACCAAGTCCAGATATATACACCCCCTATAGTTGGAGCATAAAATGGTTATGGTACAAAAGTATAATTGAAACTTATTCTTCATAAATATATAAAAGGCATATTTCAAATTGATAGCCTAACCTTACCATTTCTTCATTTCAAAGATAAACATAAGTATATACAAGTATTTTATAAATGCAATATTGAGAAAGGTATAATGTATCATATATTAAAGGTTTATACCTCTGGGTCTGTATTGAGCACACAAATCTTTCCACTGTTGATAACTTGTCTTACAGCTTCCACACTCGTACCATAAATGTTCTTTTCATATTCACCACTCTCTATAAACTTATTTCCCGCTATGGCCGTCTCAAATTCTTCACGAGTCACAAAATGATAATCTTTACCATCTATCTCATGCTCATTTTCTGGACCAGTAATTTTACGTGGACGACTAGTATCTACAAACAGAGTTAAAGATTTTAAAGTTGAATATTATCTTTGCACAGCAAGGTATAAGCATATTTAAAACTCTGGTTCGAAAATGAGTTAATATGAAAGGGATAATAATAGAATTAAGATCTGTTGACATCAATCAATACATTAGATGTGGCATTGTAAAATAATCTGCATTCACACACCCTTAGTCTAGATTTCAGATAAACTATATACTTTTTTATGATGCAATGTTAAGAATGCAAATTTTACCAGAGTAGAACAAAACTGATGTTTATCACAAATGAAAAATATCACAAATGAACAACAGAACCATTGTTTGATAAGAATTACATGTATATATAAATATTTAAGAGAGTTACAAGTAGACAAAACTTACGAGGTACAGCAGCAGCGAATCTATCATAGTCGGACTCCATCAATCTTTGACGTAGTTCATGACGACCTACATTCGGTGGACCTATCAGGACTATTGGACGTCGTCTATTCGGCTCAGGGTAATACTGAGCCACTTCCTCATATGACAATATTTCCTCATGTTCTATAAAAACAACAAAATTCATATTAAATACAAAAGTTGCAGTTTAAAATTTGCAAATTGCCATTATATGCTGTCTTCACTGTATATTGACATATACAGAAACAACTTTGGGCCAATCTTGTGTTCAGCAATTACTAAATAAATGTACTAAAGAGTATTTTATATTATGTTTTATCTTTTGATAATGGTTGCTTTGCATTAAAATATTTGATAAGAAAAATTGGTAGGATTATGCATTGGTCATTGAAAATAACTTTTTTTTTCATCTGTGCTGAATGTACATTTAAGAAATATTAATCGCAAATTTAAAACTTGATGGCACAAAAGGGGAGCAAATATCTTCAAATTCAAGTGATCAGAATATGGATTTATTTACTGACCTTCTTTATACATATTTCTTTTCTTCTTTTTCTTGTTTGTTCTACCACAGGAACATGATCTGCCCTTCTTCTGATTTTCCTTATTCTCCGTTCCAATAGTTTGTCTCATTGACTCTCTTCTACAATTATATATATATGATTGATTTCAATAATAGACACCTATCACCATGGTTACACCATTTACTTTGATAGCAGTTTAAGCTGTTATATTGACAAATATTAATAAATTGTTGCCTAGTGATAGACTAGTATAACAGCATATATATAAAGCAGCAGGTACATCATTCTTTCACCGACATCACATAATTTTAACTTATTTTTTTTACAGAACTTTGCTTAAGGACATATTCCGCTCCTTATCTGTAATAAATCTAAATAGTTTGTAGAAAATATGGAAACACTATCATGTATATATGATGCATTAGCAAATTAATTGAATTTGTATACAATAGTGACTGAGTTAATATGATTATATTGGCTATCTGAAAGCATAAATCCAAGTAAATCAATTAAACACAGTGTGACATATGTGAAATTACATTCCTGCAGTTAAGATACAGCCGATAAAATATATTACCAGACATAGTATTTTATTATCAAATTGTAAGAAACCTTACTCCTTGTAATAATAAACTTTATTCTAGAACCAGTATTTTATTTATCATGATATTGTAGTAAGTTTGGCTACATGATTAAACAATGTGATTAGTAATTTTTACAGAGAATGGTTTAACTACTGTTACATACTGTTCATGGAATGTTCGGCTGGGTATAAGCCCGGCCAGTGACTGGTAATCTTCCTCGCCCTCTCTATATGCCTGCCACCAGTTTGTATCATCCTGGTTTATAACATGTAGAATGTCACCTTTCATAAATGACACGCCCAACTCTCTACATGGGATGTAAAGATCATCTTCAGGGTCATAGTTGAATAATGCTTTCACATGCATCTGTAAACATCAAATAAATGTTGATAGAATATAAATAAGGTTAACAAATATTATATAGACTAAAATTATCAAAGAAAGTTCAGTACTGTAATGGCAAATGATGATTTGTTTTGTTTTAATTGGGTTTTACGTCACATCGACACAGTATAGGTCATATCGCGATGTTCCAGCTTTACTGGTGGAGGCAGACCTCATATGCCCCTCCATGCACTATTTTAGGCACAAACGAGCACCTGAGTAGAACCACCGGCATTCCCTATACTAGCTGGATAGCTTCCTCAAATGAAATATTCCAAAGTCCCTGTCAGGATTTGAACCCACAGTAGTGAGGGGCAAGTGGTGTGAAGTCCACGACCATAACTACTCGGCCACTGATGCCTGGGCAAATGATAAGAATGGAAAATTAAGAAAGGATACTTTACTAACATAAAGCTATATAGGTATTATACATGTACTATAAAATGGTTCAAAGAAATATAATAAACAGTTCATGCTTTATAACTGTACAAACAAATTTTGCAGAATCACATAATGTTAATCTCTATCTAAAGCCAAACAATGTTAGAAAATAAATCATACAAGAGCTGTCCGTAAGACAGCGCGCTCGACTTTTTTATTGCTTGCCAATAAAAAAAGTTTTTGCAGTAAAAGGCAATACAAGAATCTCTGTATTTTTAAAGTGAACAATGGCCATGAGCATTAAGATATTTAGTGAAGAATTATTTTACTGAATTGTGTGATACCCTTGAACACTGCAGCAAAGTTTGAAATGTTTAAGTCAAAAGAGGGCTGGTAAGAAAGAAAAAAAAATGAGTTGAGCCTTAAATAAATTTAATAGTATTAAACCCACTTTGAGAGAATAAGGTATTTTTACGTCACTCAGAACACCTTGGTAAATGACATAATAACATAATTTTTCAAGAAATCTATGCCAAGGAAGCAGTATATTTTTGTACAATCAGCATAATATATAGATTTGACTTTGTATGTGAAAGTATTATAGTTACCTTATAATACAAGTAATAGATAAATTTTATCAAGCTTTTTTAGATGTTGTCAGTTGGTCACAAGTGGATCTCTTTCACACAGGCTGTGGGTGACTAAAAACTTAACCAAGATTCTAAGTCGATAAAAGGCCTTAATTTTTAAAACAAATCTTTGACAGAGTTACCTTCTCTTGCGTACAGATGGGGGTAATGATGTGAAATAGCATTAAAAGTTTCAAAGCAATATCTCAAAGGGTTAAGGCAATAAGTGGATTTTACCCATATTCAATGTATTTTCTAAGTCAAAAAGGGGCATAATTCTGTCAAAAACCTTGACAGAGTTATGTCCTCTTGTCTGTTGATGAAGGTCGTGATGGTAAACAAGTATGGTCAGTTTCAAAGCAATACCTCCAATGGTTTTGAAATAAAGTGAGGTGGTACAAAAAACTTAACCAAGCTCAATACACTTTCTAAGTCAAAAAAGGGCCATAATTCTGTCAAAAACCTTGACAGAGTTATGTACTCTTGTCTGTAGATGGAGGTTATGATGGTGAACAAGTATGGTAAGTTTCAAAGCCATACTTGTAATACTTCTGAAATAAAGTGGGGTGGTACGAAAAACTTAACCAAGGTGTGACGCCGACGCCGACGCCGGGGCGAGTAGGATAGCTCCCCTTTTCATAGAAAAGTCGAGCTAAAAATGAGACAACTTATTGTAGAGAGGACAGACTTACAATGCTTCCAGCTGTAGCAGAAGGTGGATTGTACTCGTTGCTAGGGTAAATTGTAAATGTTATTCTTCCTGACATATTTGCCTGAAAACACAAAAACACAACCTTCATTACATACTGAACTATAGACTGAGCATCATTACCTTTTTTTGCAACAGGTAATATAACATACATGTACTTTATATGACATTGATTTATAGGTGACATTTTACATTGTTTACATGACTTATAAATTAGTTATTTTTATATAAAAAAAACCTTTTATCATAAATTGAGAAAAACTTTGTCGTTAAAATATTCAACATGATTATTTCCAGAACAATTGTGAACATATATCATGTTAACTTTAAGTGGTGTAAAACATGTTTCTTTCACCATAACATAATACAATTCAATAAAATGCAAATTTGGCAAAATACAATAAGCTATTGTGACCGTTTAACATTTATTACCGGCCATAAAATTAGATTTCACGCTGTAAACTTTGTGCATATTATTAGGCTTACTTTCATGTGAATAAAGAAGGATAAAAAACATCATAATTAAATCATCGAGAAATTCATGATACTGGTACAGCTTTAAAATCAATAAAGTTACCAGAGATGATTCAATACAAATGTGATAGACAAAAGTTAATAAAATTTCTTCATATTTTCCTTGATAATAGATAAAAGATTTAATATAAGTTTTTGGGACTAAATCAATACCAGACATCCTATAAGTTTTTTATATTGTTACATGTCCTATTTATTTCCTGAAGTCAGCAACCTTTTTTTTTTATTTAAAACTATATATTCTACATCAGCCTCAATATATTATACTTACAGTATCAGTTTCTCTACTTGTAATAGGGTTTGTAAGCGAACAGCATGGATCCTGATCGGTCTGGATCCATGCTGGTCGCAAACACATTATGTTGGTTTTGTCATGGCACCGCTCATATTATACTTACTAGCATTTCAGATACATCATTGATATCTTTGCCCTTCATGTCTATCCCATTTATGTCAAGTATTTCATCACCCTCGTGTAATAAGCCGCTCTTCTCCGCTGTGCCTCCCTTTACAATCCGGCTGATTATCACAGACTCACCATCGTTCCTCACTGTAGCACCCTGCATTATTTATAACATCAAAACTTAATTTCAAGAAGAATTAGCTAAAAGTCATCAAGTAAATAGGAGTATAACACAACAAATGAGAAAGAATTGAAATGTTTTTTTTTTGTGGTTTAGTCAATTTAGTTTCAAGCTCCAGCTTTATTAGAAAATGAGTAAAAATCTAGTTTCTGATTAAGAATATAAGGCCTAAATTTGCACTTTGATACAGAAATTAACTACAAGAAAATGTAATCATAATAGGCATCCACAGGGGAAAATGGGCAGTTGAAATAATGATACAAGTTTGTACATCTTTAACACACAAAAGGCATTTCATTTACACACATCTTCAAATATAACATTCTAGAACATTAGAACATTGACATTCCAGAAACAATATGTTTTTATTAGTGTTATTTTATTTGATGTAGTGTAGTAAACTTCCTGATAAAAACATTTCTGATTGTAATGATCACATACCTACAAGTATAAATTTACCCTGATGATAGATAAATGGTTTTCCAACAACTCTCTATATACATTTTGTATACCTTTTATATGTACTCAGACATGATTTATTGTACCCTGCCTTCTCATAAAAGCCATGAAATTTAAACACAATAAAACCATCTAGAATATCAGGTTGACATACAATATCAACTTAACAGTAAGGACAATTCTATATGACAAACCAATTGTTAAAACTGGCTCATCTTGATTCAGAAACTACAAAAAGCAGTCATTAGTTCAATACCATTCTACATAATGACTGAATTGCTCTTATCTAGTAAAAATAAATGTTTTATAATATGATCCAATATTTGAGTCAGTAACTTCTTGACAAAAACAGAAGAAAGCTTCACATAAATTTCCTCACCAGCCACTATGTAGCATAACAAGAGCTGTCGGAAGGACAGCACGCTCGACTATTCTAAGTGCTTGATAGTAAAAGAGCCTTGATAATGTTAAATTTTTTAAGTTCACAAAAGGGCTAATTTTTTTTTATAAATTCAAGTTATAGGCCTTGGAGAGAGTCTAATTATACAGTATTGGCTTGACTATTCGGAAGGAAATGTCACAAGGGTGTTTTATTGAGTATAATAATACTAATTACCTATGAATACATAAATTTGACAGAAAAGGTACAAAGGCTTGTTATTAAGATGTTTTATTAAGTAAATCACAGCTTTATTATTATTAATGCTTAAATTGTCCCAAAAAAGGCACAAACCCTTCAGTAGTTATTGAGATAACAGCTTACAAGCAAAACTTTACCATGAATTTCTAAGTTAAAAAAGGGGAGAAAAATCAGCCTAAATGCAAGATAGATATGGATCTTTGTCAGTGAACTACAATTATGACTCTAAATGCATATGTGAAGTTTTAAATAAATATCTTTAATAGTTATTGAGATATGTAAACTTGCATGTAAACATTAACCAAGAGACTAAGTAGAAAAGGGGATATGAATCAGCCTTAATGCAAGATAGAGTTATGGAACTTGGTCAGTGACATACAATTATGACCCTCCAATTATGACCCTACGTGCATGTGTAAAGTTTCAAGTAAATATCTTTGAAGACCTTTAACCAAAATTTCTAAGTTCCAAAGGGGCATAATTCTGTCAATATTGTAGGCAGAGTTATCCAACTTGTCAATCTGATGTACCTTGTTACTATAAATAAGTATTGTAAGTTTCAATTGAATATCTCAAGCAATAATTGAGATATTTGACTTTACAAAAAACTTTAACCAAAATTTGTAAGTTCCAAAGGGGCATAATTCTGTCAATATTGTAGGCAGAGTTATCCAACTTGTCAATCTGATGTACCTTGTTACTATAAATAAGTATTGTAAGTTTCAATTGAATATCTCAAGCAATAATTGAGATATTTGACTTTACAAAAAACTTTAACCAAAATTTGTAAGTTAAAAAGGGGCATAATTCTGTCAATATTGTAGGCAGAGTTATCCAACTTGTCAATCTGATGCACCTTGTTACTATAAATAACTATTGTAAGTTTCAATTGAATATCACAAGTAATAATTGAGATATTTGACTTTACAAAAAACTTTAACCAACGCAGACGCCGACGCGGACGCGGACGCCGACGCCGGGGCGACTACAATAGCTCTCATATTCTTCGAATAGTCGAGCTAAAAATTACATTGTACTTCATGTTATTTTAAACATTTTTTTATCACCAGACAATATATTTCTGTAGACACATTCACTTATTTTTTGTAGCTGTTTTCCCAGCATAAAGTTAGTTCAGGCAAAACAAATTACACAGTAGCTGTGACCACATCAAATTTAATTTGAACTGACAAATGCTAATGGGGGTATAGAGGTTATAATCACAGGTTTTGAAGTGTCAATTATATGCTTGATGTAAATGTACTCTGTGGTCAATATAACCTTTCTACTCAAACCTAATCTTTTTAATTCATTTAAATATTGGCTTTTTACATTCTGAAAATATTCCTGCAATATTTTTCAAGAGAACAAATATACTTTACACCTTGATTTTAATAATTCAAACTTAACAATGTCCTACATGAACTATTTCATAACAAGATACAATTTTTCAAGATAATGTTTTTGTATTACACCCACTTGTATAAGAGATAATATCTCTACTGCTTACCCCCTGAACTGCAACTAAATTTCTTTATAAATAATTTTATCCAACAACTAAGTTTCATACCGCTAAATATTTTTTACTGATATATGCATGGTAGATGCTTGATAGTCAGATAGTTTTACAGTGAAATAAATAGAAACAAACAAAATTCTCATTCTGATTGCAATAAAATAAAAGAAAAACAACTTTAATTATTAATGTAACAATAATAAGTTTACCAATGGTTCTGTAGTTTTCTCTAGATGTACAAGTTTTACACTGGCACCACCATCTGGTATATTAGGAATATTAAAATCATCCGGTGGTTCCTGGCCATTTGCTGCTGACTTCACTTCCTGTCTCGCCACAGAGTCATGTGCCAACAACAAATTCTGTCAATATGAAAAATATCATTTTAACATAGTAATTCAAACAATTTCAGTACAATACATCACCCGCAGACAAACCCTGACATAGCAACTTTCAAATCTTTTTAAAAGTTTTGTTTTTGCAAAAGTAGATATTCTGCAAGAATTCAACATTCTCCTCATTCCGATTTTTACAAGATTGCAACAAGATTGAATGTAAATAATATCCAAAGTAAGTCACTGACGTCAATGCACAATGTATTTAAACACAAAAAAAAGTGTTTTAATTTTCTATGTTTCATCTATTATGTGGTCAGACAAAGTTAATTAATATAAGTTTATCAGACCAGAATAGAAAATTAATATTTTACATACAAATAAATGGTTGGATTCAAAACAAAACTTTTAACTTGTGATTTTAAAATATATATTGCTTAGTTCATACTAATAATAAATTCTCTGTGAATACAATACAAAAACTCATTCTGTTTGACAAAAGTCACAAGCTTTGTGTTACATGTATAAAGAAACTGTTGCCAATTAACAGGTGATGGTAATAATGGTTTGACTATGGCACGCTTGGCACCCATGCAGTTTATTCAGACATTCATACCTTTTCAGTATCATTATTTATACATATAATTCCCTTAAATTTCAAAAGAACAGTTCCAAACAGAAAACTGCACTGATCTATTAAACAAATTAATCAGTGTAAAGGTTAATTTGTTACATGGCAATGAGTTACTATATAGCATAAAGATAACAATGACAGCGTGGCAGGGGAGAGTTTAAGGTAATCACCATTATTTCACATTATCACACTGTCTATCTGACAAACACTGCCATACTAATGAATATAGATCACTTGTGTATACTGACTTCTTGATTTTGTCAGTAAAAAATACAACTTCTCTCATAGCAGGGATAAACTAATAACAGTTTGTGTGGTACATGTTCAGACTAACATGGTGTCAAAGATAACCTCAAGGGGTGTAACTTGTCTAGCCAATCAGCTTCTAATGCTAATTCTTACAATATATTTTGCATTACAATTTTACAAGAAAAATATAAATTACAGTTCAATTCCTGTAGAAGGGTAAAATGTTTGCAGAAGGTTACGAACTTGCCAGACAAACTGTTTTAAATCCTTCAAAAGGCTTAACTAACTGTGAAAACCATTTAGCAAAGAATGTGTATAAATTGGATATTGACCAAAAATGGCTGTAAATTGGATAAACCAAATAAGGCGTAGGTCAAATTAGATAAATGACGTACATCTACAAGACAGACTGATTTAACTTTGTAGCCACTATGTAACAGACATTAAGGAATGGAAATTAAGAATTTCATTAGACACTGTTACTCTGTTTTTAACTTCAAGTTAAAATGGCTTTAAGGCTGTATACATAATGTGTTCTTTACTAAATTATATACAAGAATTTATATTACAATGTTGTTGGCCAAAACCACAATATACATCAGTCATATAGCTATTTGTCATGTAAATAACCCTCGCCTATTTTATCAATTATTTACATTATTACTTTACTAGATATACCTGGCAAAGGTATTTAGGTCACAACAACTATCATATAAACTGCTCTTATTGAAAAATTGACTACATGAAAATGTAACCTGAAGGTATTAACTCTTCACTTTGATCAGAGATATAAATACAGTATCAGTTACTGAATCTAATTCTGACTGGAAATCAAATTGCAATTGTGATACACACTTCACTCTTGATTAAATTTCACATACAATATGATACATGTATTTGTAATGCATTAATCTTGTTTATATGAATGAAATGCTTGCAAAGATTGAGTATTGAACTGGGACATTACTGTTGCAAATACAGCTTCTAATAAGTTCATCAATATCAAAGAGGAACAAAAATTAATCAAAAGAAAATAACATCAAGTAGGAAAATGAGATATTTGTTCAACAGTGTTTTTAAAATTTTTGTTTGGATTTTAAGATACACTGACACTATTAAGGTCATCTGGTGACTTTCTAGGTTTACTGGTGGAAGAAGACTTCAGGTGCCCTTCTGAAGTTCTGTACATTATTTCAGGGACAAGCTGGCACCTCATTTAAACCACTAACCTTCTGTAAGCTAGCTTGATAGTTTGCTCAAATGAAAGAATTCAAGGTTCCTGTTGGGATTTGAACCAACGGTGGGAAGGAGGGGCAAGTCGGCAACCTTCACCACTCTGCCAGGGAAGTTATTACAACAGTAAATTTTAACAATATCTAGATATGAATACAAAGTTATAATTAATGAACAAAGTCTGTTCTAGAATTAGCCATTATTGAAAAGAGACAAGTTCAGCTATATACAAAGTCTCAATGATTGTGTTAAATAAGTTATTTTACCTTTATGTGTGGTTTACACAATATAGTGAGCAGTTGTTCAGAGTATGGACTCTGCACTGAACACAACACGTCCTCACTCTCATCCAGAGCGTCCTGAGAATTTGAACACGTACATTGCACAGGAGGGTTTCTAGTCTTAACATCCAGCACTTTATGATGAACACTAACAGCATTTTGAAATTGTCTTTGATCAAAAAAGTCTGTTAAAAATTTCAATTTTTCTTTGCCTTCCTTTGAGTTGACCTTACTCTTCATATGCTGCAGACTTGCTAAAACATCATCATAACCTAAAAACACGTAATAACATTTGTTATGGCTAAGTACAAGTAAAACACATGTTAAATGAACAAAAACATGTTCAAATAAAAAATATTTTGGAACAAAGAAGCTGTTATACTAATTTTTTTTCATCTAAATGTCATCATCATTGTCACCATTTTTTCAAAGTAACTTTTAAGCCTCCTAAATGCCAATAGTAAATAGTACTTATTAACTCCCTAAACTTTCCTATATTTGTACATTTTTAGGGGGGAAAAAAACACAACAAAAATCAGTTTTAGCACCCAAGACTTTGAATCAATTCTTGAAGTTAGAAGACCATCCTAGGTATTAATCTACCATATATGAAAGACATTGGTCATTAAATGAACCATACAAAACATTTCTGTCAAACATGTCATTGATTCATTCATTTACCTTCACATTAGTTTTTCTTGAAAGGACTCTTATTTTACTCAGTAACTTTAAGATTCTATATTATTGGTTAGCATTTTCACTGTATCAGGAAAAAATATAATCATGTTTACTATGTGAATGTATTGTGATGGTTGACACTGTCCTCTCCAACATCAGATACTGGCTATCAGACATAGAGCATTAATTAACAATGATTGTATCAGCTTCTGAGGGGGAGAAAAAAAAATATGAAGAAAAAATAAATCTGACAATACACAATTTAAGATATTAGTTAGGGCCAGGGGATATCTAATCAGAGCATATATTCATATAGTCCTCTAGCCATGTAGAAAATTTAATTATATACACCAGTGCATACTGATTTTCTAAAATATTTCACATGATTTTATCATGAAAAGTTGGTATTAACATATTTTCTATGGCAAAATAAATGACACATATCCATTTAACCTCATGCATTGTGGCTCAATCTGAAGAAAGTTTCCAGTAAATCGAAATCAGTTTAATGAATGTCTACAACTTGTAACAAGGAAATATGACAGAGCTCCAAACAGTTCATTAACCAACAATTCATAAGTAGAAAGACAGACACTTGACCACAAGACTAACACTCCCCTAGTGCAATGACAATCATAGTGTAATATTTGTCATTTATTATTATGTCACAGATCTATATCAATACAAAAACAAGAGTTCTAATTAGACATACACTCTCTTCATTTATAAGTATCTGTCAATTATTGAATCAGTACAAGGAGCCAAGGATACATGATTAAATTTTTTGATAGGGCTTCAAGTCAACTGACTCTGTAGGTCATATGTGGCAATTTTCCAGCTTAAGTTGCCAGAGGCTCCTGTGTGCACTACTTCAGTCATGCACATGTATGGGCAGGCACCCGAGTAGAACTTTAGGTGCATGAATATGTTAATAACATTAATGATAACTGAGGTGGATGAGTCCAATTTTTATAACTATAGTTGAACTATTGTATACTGTCTCATTTTTATGTCTTTATCTGAGCTATGATATGTTATATCTTATTATATGAGTACCAATTCCCCGTGTTGCGATTGATGGTCAATCACCTAGGCATATTGATCATAACAAACTATGTCAAAACGTCAAAAAGAGTGGCGCCAAATTTAACTGTCTATTATTAGGAACCAATTGAATTCTGCACTTTCTTTCTGCTCATTTAGGGCTTGTTGGCTTGAAAAAAGGAAATCAGAAAAATTAAAAAATATACCTCGGCCCTGGTGAATATCACTTAAGCCAGGCCCATAGACATGGATATATACACTTTATTGTCATATAATAATTTATAATCTTTGGCTTATAAATAAAGTAATTGGAAATTACAGGGTTACATTTTAGGTCTGAGCTGAATCTTAGAATTTAGAATATCACCTAAATTTGATGTAATTCTGTGTATGAATTTAATTATTTGTTATAAGTAGCTTGTAGTTGTTTCTCCTATTAAATTCCTTACATCAAAGTTTACTAAAACAAATACTATTTTTTCAAATACAAGATCATATTATATTTTTCTACATTGAGAACATTCTCAAAATGTAAGAGGAACACATTATCCATAGTTTAAATTCACTTTAAAGTCTTCTGTAGTGAATTATTTCTGGGAAGAAGTAACAAGCATACAAGAAGACATTTAGAATAAATCAATAGCAACACAACCAGCAACCAACATAATATAATTTCTAACTTTACAGTTTCCACATTTTTCAAACTGATGTAATACAGGAATAATTTCTAGTGACAATGAAGCCAAGAGAAATTTTCTGGTGAGAAATTCGGAGAGATTTATAATGTGTTGTATTCACCAGATAATTTGAAACAGCTAATGTATTTACTTTATAAGTATGTATTGTTCCCAATTGACCAAATAAAGGAAAGTTGATCAATGCCAGGCAACAGTTAAGCTATCAATTATAAATGGTTAAGTTAATAAGAATTTACGCAGGAAAATTTATCATGTATTTATCTTATTATACAGCAATTACCTAAAAGCTTTGAGCAGAAATATCCTCCATTTGTTGGGCCCAACCAGTTTTAATGAAATTCCATTTACTTCTTATTTGTTTCAATGATCACTGTGTTTTGAAATTTATTAGCAATTTACATTGTTGTGCAAATCTGTACTTTACATGTTTGTAGCCCAGACATTAACACAAACTGTGTAGATGCATTATTTTTTGGAAGTCACAAGCCAACATCAAGGAGTAAATGACTCCCAAACTTCCACTAATGGAAGCCCTGTCAATGACTAGTAACTTACTTTTCTTAGCAGATTACATTTTGATATCAATAATTCTTACAGTAATTTTGTTACTTCAGGACAAAAATTGCAGTAATACAATGGTTATGTAACAGGACAGCTTTTTAATAACTTCCTTTTTTATACAATTTTGTTTACATTAGATTACTTTTATGGAGAAATCCATTTTGACTTCTTCTATAAGTGTTAAATTAAGCAAGAAATTTGAATGGCTCTAATTGCTTATAGTAAACAATTACTTATCTTGGTTCTCAATTTATTGTAATTCAATAAAATGTAACAATAATGCCTCTGAATTTATTAATTAATGAATAAATCGTGGAGGATTACAACTGATTGTCAGTTTGGTACAGTTACGGCACCATTATTAAGGTCAGTACATCAAGTCTCAATGTTTAAAAAAAATATTTTAATGACTGGAAACTGATAAAATATAATGAATGTAAATAATCTTGGCTTTGATGCTCATGGTGATCATCTGATTTTTATGATGCTAGAGTGTATGGAAGGAAAGTATAGAAGTAGTGCCATTGACTCTGCTTCACAATATATAAATTGTAGATCTGCACAAAATAACCATTTATATTCATAATTCTTTCCCTTGGTGATAATAAATTACTCTTTGCTGCCACAATTTTCTCTATTATTGCAAAATTTAAAATAGCAAACATTTATCTAGCTTCTTTAAGCAAATGTTAGAAATGTTTGCATCAATTCAATTTTGCCACAAAATGCCCCGTAATAAAGTAATTAAAGTAACAATATTAAAACTTTTGTATTAATAATATATCCTAAATTTTAGTATTCCATGGAAAACATTAACCTTTCAGGTAGAATCAACAGTGTTCCCTGTCTTATGTAGCTTACAAATATATCATACTAAAGCTATTTAGATTTTCTTTTGATTAAAGCAAATTACATTTATAACTTGAAGATCTTTAAGGTTATACTTTGACAGTACAATTATTATTTTTTGATATGATCAAGTTTAAGAGTTACAGGAGGAAAAGTTAACTAGGAGAGTTTATTTGTAAGTCTAACCACCGCATAAAATACGAAAAAGAGCCTTGGGCATGTACTTAATATACAATATATAGTCAAACTGGGAACCTTATATAGTCTAGGACATACGAGGAGAAATGTCAAACCTATGAATATATTTCTGTGACATCTACATATTGTTCTCTAGAGATTTCAATATGCCATGCAGACTAAAACATATTCTTTGCCACAAACATTTCATATAACATTGGTAAGAGTTTCAATGAAATTAATAATTTTTTCACTATACTTGACAAATGAAAGTATATCTTAGTATAAATAACTTTTAGTAACATATTTTATTAGTTACAGGTACTTACTTAGATTTTTTTTCATATAATCACGACTATTTTGCGTATGTCTTCCACTAACATAACCTTCCTCAAATCCACCAGAGTCATCATCATTATCAATAAATGCTGTATTGTCTATTCCTGCTTGCTTACGCTCTTTTTGTAGTGCTTTCATTTTTTCTGAGCGTCTGAGGGAAGCACGTAAAAATTCCTGTTCTTTTGTTCGTTGTTCCTCCCTTTCATTCCTTTTTCTAATCTCTTCTTGATGACGCCTTATCCTCTCCATCTGTTCTTCAGAATGTGGCGCGTTAGAGTTTAATTTTCCATTTTTAGCACTACTTTCTTTAGTTGGTGTTGATCGTGGGGAGGAATGAGAGGAGGGGAATCTCGGCGGAGTTTTCACAGCACCTTGAAAGTTTTTTGGCACATCAATTGCCATTTCCCTATGAGGTCCTTGATCAAATTCTATTGAACTGTGTGTTTCATCGTAACTTTCATCCATTCCAAACATATTGATAGAATTTTGACTGTTATTCTTTCTTTCAGTTAATAAGTTATCAATTAATGGGGTTTCGTTGCTGGCTGTACTGGACCTTTTTCCCTTCTTCCCTTTTCCTTTCTTTCCTTCTTTCTCCTTATAACCGTTCAGTTCAGACATTTCAACATGTCCGTTGGTCATGTGACCTGATTGAGTCATGTAAGGCATTGAGGATTGTAACACTGCACGTTCTAAAGAATGACTTGTAGAGTTAGATGTGTTGTGTAGATCTTCAGTATTTTCACCTTCGATCCCTACATGATGTGTCATATCAATCGGGGTAAGACTGTGATTGTAAAGTAGTTCCTCAAGACGTCGTTTGGCATCTTCTTCCACAGCTACTATATATGCATTCTGAACATCATCTGTTGGAACTATAGCGGCTGCAAGTAGAAATAAACAAAAATGTATATAGGCAACACAAATAGTTAAATATGCAGAGTTATTATTATAAATCATAATAAGTATGATAAATCTTCTTCTTTTTGTGTTGAATTTGTATCTCTGACCATTATCTAGCTTACTTTTCTAATTCGTTGAGGAGAGAAACACTCGGAAACATTATTTCGGTCACCATGATAAATGGTTAATATTTTCATCAAGCTAAACTAGAACTATCACTAAATGTGATTAATACCCCCACAAGACTGCTTCGGAAATGAGGATGTTACTAGTAACAGAATACCTTGTAAAAGAATTGAAATATAGAGTTATGGTTGTGGGCAATTAAAGATAGTTGTGGTTCTTATATGTTGCATTTCCTTTCAATGTGGTTGGCCATTGATGAAGTTTAATTGAATTACTCTGTAATAAGTCCAGAAAGATAAAGAAAAGGAACAAAGGGCAATAACTCTATAAATACTGAAGATAGAGTTATAGTTCTTGTGCAATGCACTTCCTCTTATTGTGCTTGACCATTGTATGAAGTTGTTTTCAATTCCAACCAGTATGTTTTAAGTTATGCTCCTGACAAGGAAAAGTATCAAAGGGCAGTAACTCTGTATTTTGTCAAAATGGAGTTATGGCTCTTGTGCACTGCACTTCCTTTTAAATGTCCTTGACAACTGTATGAAGTTGTATTGAATTCCAAACAGTAGTTTTCAAGTTATGCTCTGGACAAGGAAAAGTAACAAAGGGCAATAACTCTGTAATTAGTCAAGATGGAGTTATGGTTCTTGTGCACTGCACTTTCTCTCAATGTGCTTGACCATTGTATGAAGTTATATTGAATTCCAACCATTAGTCTTCAAGTTATGGTCCGGACAAAAAAGGCAATGGAAAAGTAACAAAGGGCAATAACTCTGTAATTACTTTAGATAGAGTTATGATTCTTGTGCACTGCACGTCCCCTTATTGTGTTTGATAATTGTATGAAGTTGTTTTGAATTCCAACCAGTAGTTTTCAAGTTATGCCCCGGACAAGGAAAAGTAACAAAGGGCAATAACTCTGTAATTAGTCAAGATAGAGTTATGGTTCTTGTGCACTGCACTTCCTCTCAATGTGCTTGACCATTGTATGTAGTTATATTGAATTCCAACCATTAGTCTTCAAGTTATGGTCCGGACAAAAATATCAATGGAAAAGTAACAAAGAGCAATAACTCTGTAATTACTTTAGATAGAGTTATGGTTCTTGTGCACTGCACTTCCACTTATTGCGTTTGACAATTGTATGAAGTTGTTTTAAATTCCAACCAGTTGTTTTCAAGTTATGCCCCGGACAAGGAAAAGTAACAAAGGGCAATAACTCTGTAATTAGTCAAGATAGAGTTATGGTTCTTATGCACTGCACTTCCTCTCAATGTGCTTGACCATTGTATGTAGTTATATTGAATTCAAACTATTAGTCTTCAAGTTATAGTCCGGACAAAAAAAAAGCAATGGAAAAGCAACAAAGGGCAATAACTCTGTAATTACTTTAGATAGAGTTATGGTTCTTGTGCACTGCACTTCCACTTATTGTGTTTGACAATTGTATGAAGTTGTTTTGAATTCCAACCAGTAGTTTTCAAGTTATGCCCCGCACAAGGAAAAGTAACAAAGGGCAATAACTCTGTAATTAGTCAAGATAGAGTTATGGTTCTTGTGCACTGCACTTCCTCTCAATGTGCTTGACCATTGTATCTGGTTATATTGAATTCAAACTATTAGTCTTCAAGTTATGGTCTGGACAAAAAAAAGCAATGGAAAAGTAACAAAGGGCAATAACTCTGTAATTACTTTAGATAGAGTTATGGTTCTTGTGCACTGCACTTCCCCTTATTGTGTTTGACAATTGTATGAAGTTGTTTTGAATTCCAACCAGTAGTTTTCAAGTTATGCCCCGGACAAGGAAAAGTAACAAAGGGCAATAACTCTGTAATTAGTCAAGATAGAGTTATGGTTCTTGTGCACTGCACTTCCTCTCAATGTGCTTGACCATTGTATGTAGTTATATTGAATTCCAACCATTAGTCTTCAAGTTATGCTCTGGACAAGGAAAATGCAACGGACGTCTGGACCGACCGACCGACCGACCGCCCGACCGACCAACCGACCACCGGGTGACTCCTATAAACCCCCCCAAACTTCGTTTTTGGGGGTATAATGACATTGAACAATAGATAGAATTCTCCTTGCAAAACACTTCAATGTTATGACTGCTATGCAAGTATCATAAACTAAGTTATGTACATTTTACTCCCAATCACAGGAGAGTAAAGAATTCAAATACAATACAAACACGATAAATTTTGTACCATGAAATGAAAAAGCCAAAAATATTTCAAAATAACCTTCTAGCATAAAATCAACCTACTAAATATACGATTTTATAATACCCTTTAAATCCAATTTCTATTTACATCATAACTTTATAAATCCACAGGCACTCCATTATAATGACTCAGCTTTTAAAACTTTTGCCAAAATATTATTTTGACTTTGTATTCAATGTGCCAACAATAACACAATACAAAACCTTACATGCAAAGAATTATCCTGCTCCACTTTCAAAACAATTTACCTATCTGAATCACTGTGGGATTTACCTATCTGAATCACTGTGGGATTTCACTGTCAATTTCAACCACTGAATATTAGTACAACTATTATATACTGTGAAATTTAACGTAAAATTCTCTACTTTAGGAGATGCATTTCAAAAATCAATAAGAAACTTAATATCGATTAAAATCTATCTGAAAATAATAGCTTACATTCATAAAATGCATACTATTGAAACTTGAGATGTTTAAACTTGTTCATTTTTATATCAAGGTTACATATGCATTATGACGTTATCATGTTATTTATATACACCAAAAATAACTAATATACACTTATAATCTACAGGTGATAATGCTATTTTCTTCCTGTATAATAATAATGTCCCTGTCATACACTCCTAAATCTTATGGTAATTTTACCATTCTCAGGTATTCAAGTGATATTATGTCATGTGACATCTAATTTTTCACAATCTCACAATCTGTATACCAAACAGAGCATTTCATACAGAACATATACATATAGATAGTTATGCTCATTTTACACATCAATCAGCTTGTCACAAAAACTTATGAAAAACAAATATGACTCATCTAGATGATAAAAACATTGCAAACGGTGAAAGAAAAACTACCAGCGTACCATCCATTAGTTTCTCACTGTGTCACAGCCTTACATTATAGTACGTGAATGATTTCAATTTTATATCCTTACAATTTTTCACATCAACAATAATTTATCATATCTCACAAAGTGGCTGTCAATTACTTAAATAAATGCATTTGTTGACAAAGATGATTTCATACCCTCTCTAAAACTATTTTACAATCTGTAATGCATTGAGGCATAACATTGAGGCGTAACGTCACAAAACTACGCCATAAAACTCATACATCTTTGAGAGCACTTATAAACCTAGTATAGACTTGTATAAATAATGAGAATCATTGAGACAGTTGTTAATGCAAATCATCTACTAAAGTTACATATTATTATACTGGAAATACTGCTTATATTTCAACAACTGAGGAAGTATTCAACTGAAAATGTTCACCATTAATGTTGTATTTTCAGAATCATCAGCAGAATTTCAACTAGAAATTCTATTACATTATAGCTTGTTTTGAAATGTCAATCAAGAACTTTATCTGTAGAAGTGTCAATAAAACATTTAAAACACTGTTTTAATGATATATGAAATGAAATTACTCTTTGTTACATCAAAACAAATTTAAATATTAAACATGTAAACATTGAAAGCAAAAATATGACCAAAATAAATAAAAATATAACCAACATCAGCTGTCTATCTTAAGGTCAAAGGTCAAACACAGGTAACCACTTTTTAAAAACCTAATCCACTTTGAACTATGAAACTTTATCTGATTAAGAAGTATTGTTTAAAATCAATGTATGTTGCACCTAAATTAATGGTTAAATCACATTTATGGAAATAACATTCAACAATTTTATATAGAAAAACCTCTTGAATTTTATATCCTTCTCCTCAGCATATCTCCACCTGTTTAATAGCTGATTAAGTGTATTTGACATGTCAGATAATCCCTCATACTGTTACACTGATAACTCCTAATGAAATTACAATAGCAAGAGGAGACAACTCTACACCCACCCTGATAGCAACCATACAGTTATCTATGAAATGATTCAACTTAAAACAATACTGATTATTTTCCCAACAATTGTTTACAAATAGCTGAAACATTACCAATAAACCAACAGGGCTGATTAAAGAAACATAACTATGTAAATCCAGAAAGACCACTATTGGATATGGTCCAAGACAGAAGACTTTTATCTTACTGGTCAAACAAGTGACCACAAACAACATCATTTACTCTATTCAGTAGAATATTGATCACAGAGAAATGAATGTCTTCTAAAATGAGAATTCTTCATGTATTCATTACATATAGCTGTGAAATATTTTGAGCATTACTGGACTGGTAAACCAGTGATAATGTAACAATGATGTGTTCGGTGAACTTCATCCAAATTTACAGACTGTGCATGAACATCATAGTTATCCTATGAGCATTGTAAAATTTAAACGTTTAAACATTTCGAAATTGAAAATAAAACAAAACATTAAAGCCACCACTGCTGGCACCAGCATTCACATGGATTAAATTACCAGTTGGTCTAGCGTTAGTTACTCATTTTTTCCTTTCAGTCTGCAGCTAGAATTTAGAGATTCATTGTTTTCAATATTTTCAAATATCAAATTTGAGGATAATATATCATTAATATTCAATTTGATACAAAATACAATCATTGCCACACTAGCTATTATTTCACTGCTGTGGATAGATCTGGATAGAATACTGTCCATGAAAATTTATTTCTAAGATATTTTGCAATAATTCATGTTTAA